CTGGGAGGACTTCAATAATGCCACTAACTGCTTCATTTGTGGAAACAAATTTGAGGAAGGAGAAAAGAAGTGTTGGGACCATTGCCACTTTACGGGGCAGTATAGAGGATGCGCCCACGAGGACTGCAATCTACGATTTAGTATGATATATTATAAAATCCCTGTGTTTCTTCATAATCTTAAAAACTACGATGCCCACTTAATCATCAACAAGGCTCACGAACTGAACAAGAATTCTAAAATAGAATGTATCGCTCAGAACAGCGAAAAGTTTATAACCTTTGGTTTTAAAAATCTTTGTTTCAAGGACAGTTTCAGTTTCATATCGTCTTCGTTGGATAAGTTGGTCAGGTTGAGTAAATATGAGGATGATAAAAAGCGTGAGAATTGGAAGAACAATTTCAGATACAGCGTTAGAAACCCGTATGTTAAAACCGATGAAGATTTGGATTTATTGACTGATAAGGGTATTTATCCCTATGACTACTTTGATGATTTTGAAAGATTTAAGGAAAGGGCTTTACCATCGAAAGAAGCGTTTTACAGTAAATTGAGTGAAGAACATGTAAGCGATAAAGATTATGAAAGGGCACTGAAAGTATGGAAGCACTTCGGGATTAGAACACTCGGGCAGTATCACGACTTGTATTTAAGAACTGATGTTTTACTACTGACCGATGTATTTGAAAACTTAAGAGACTTGTGTATGGAATACTACGGTTTAGACCCCGCTCATTATTACACATTGCCAAATTTCGCATGGGACGCGATGCTTCTAAAAACTGGTGTTGAAATAGAACAATTGCATGACCAAGAAATGTTTGAGATGGTTGAAAAGGGAATGAGAGGAGGACTGTGTCAGGTAAGTCATAAATTAGCAGTGGCAAATAATAAGTATATGGGGGAAGCATATGATGAGAACAAGCCATCAAATTATATTAGCTACTTGGATGCTAATAACTTGTATGGTTTAGCAATGTCCCAGAAATTACCGCTAAAAAATATCAAGTGGGCAAAGTAAACCGCCGGAGATTGCTTCGAAGAAACTGCAGACTGCGAAATCGCGGCCTGAGGGCGTCATGCGGCCTGCATTATCCTGATAAGATGATCTCGGGCGGACACCTACAATACATCAGCGAGACGTCTGACATCAGATATCCCGAAACGAATTGCACGATTTCCACTCTGACTATCCACTAGCGCCTGAGGGGAAGTGAGACCCAATCACAATCTCCCAGTGCCCCGCCACCAGAACCCCCTACTAGACACTTGCATCAAGACAAACGATAAGCTAACCTCAAAACAACCCTGAAAATCATAAAAGAACAAAAAACAAAAAATAAAAATAATGAATGTAAATGTTAGTATGCTTTCTGACTATCAAAAGCAAGTCTTCAAAATATATTATGATGGTAAAAGTCCCAAGGACGAGAAAACAAGTAATTTAATATTAAATCTAAAGGATAAAGAAAAATATGTGGTTCATATTAAGACTTTACAGTATTATTTGAAAATGGGAATGAAAATGGGTAAAGTCCATAGGATAATAAAGTTTCAACAGAGGGCTTGGTTGAAACCGTGGATTGATTTCAACACTGGTAAAAGGAAAGAAGCCAAAAGCGATTTTGAGAAAGATTTATTCAAATTAATGAATAACGCGGTGTACGGAAAAACTATGGAAGACAAGCGAAACCATATGGATTTTGAATTAGTTGATAATGAGGTAAGATATGAAAAATGCGTTAATAATCCAACATTCAAAAACAGATTTATTATTAATGAAAACCTGGTAGGAGTTGAAAAAACTAAAGCGAAACTGAAACTGGATAAACCGATTTTCTTAGGAATGAGCATTTTAGATTTAAGCAAATTACATATGTATCAGTTTTATTATGATGTATTGAAAAAGAAGTATAATGAAAACATCAAACTGATATATACTGATACTGACAGTTATGTAATTCAAACAATGACTGATGATGTCTATAAGGATTTCAATGATATAAAGCAACACATGGATTTTAGCGACTATCCACCTGAACATCCATGCTTTGACAAAACTAATAAAAAGGTCTTAGGAATGTTTAAGGACGAAGTGAATGGAAAAATCATTACTAAATTCATCGGATTAAAACCTAAATCTTACGCCTTCACAATTCATGGTGAGGTTGATGAACATAAGAAATCAAAAGGTGTAGTGAAACACAAAGTGAAAAAAGAACTGTCGTATCAGAACTACCACGAAGCATTATTTCAAAACAAAAAGCATGAAATAACATATAATTTTATTCGTAGTCGCAACCATCAGTTATTCTCAATGTCTCAAGTTAAGCAATCTCTGAGTAATTTTGAAAATAAAAGGTTTTATATTGATGCTTTCACTTCATTACCATATGGGCATTATTCCATAAAATAATTATCTAAATAGTTCTAATAATATGAAATTATTAGAATTACTTTCTCCATAATCTTTACCAAATATAGGAAAATAGGGAAACCAGATTTCCCATCCTGGGAATCTATTTTGCACCCCTCCGCAATCTATTTTGCGCCCCTCCGCAATCTATTTTGCACCTCTCTGCAAAATCAAAAGGTTCATTTTACCACATCCCGCAAAATGCTCAAATCCCCACCTAATTTGACCATTTTAGGTGGATTTTGCATTTGACTGCAATTTATTTTGCACCCTCCGGGAAAATGACTCCAACCCTTGGGTATTATTTTGCAAAGGCAGACAAACTGTTTTGTCCTCTTGCGATGGTTTAAGTGGATGGCTTAATCATAATATTTAATTATAATATGATTAAACATTGTTTTATAATCTAACAAGAAGGTTAACCTGAAACCCAGACCAGCCGACCAGCAACCCCCTAGCCAAAACTACTTAAAGAAATATTACCTTATATATTAAGAGAAAAATGAACGGTGATGGAATCAATAATTATATCGATAAAAAATGCTATGATTGTTGCCACTTCAAAAAAGAAAATATGGAATTGTATAAATTGAGTTTACCTAATGAAATAGTGAATAATATTATTAATTATTCAATGGATGGTGAAGAAGACATATGTAAAAATTGTAAAACTTGGAGAGATAATCAATGTTTAATCAAATGTCTGTTGGGAATAAAAAGAATACATAATAGAAATGTAGAAGATGATATTTTAATATTTCTAACTGTAAATAAAATACCACCTTACGATTGTGTTAAACAGTTTCTTAAAATCAGTAAGAAAAAATATGACACGATTTATGATATATTATGGATGTTGGGTTATAGTCAAGAGAAAGGAGAAGATGTTAAAGAAAATATCAAATTATTTATTGAAAGTAAAAAGTTTAATGTTCAGAATACATTGAGAGATATTAATATTATTTTTAAAATGATGTATGAAAGAAGTAAGACAAACCAATTAGATTATTATCCTGAACTGAAATTATAATCATAATATAATAATAACATGTAAAATCTTATATGTTATAATTATACTGAACTTTTAACCTATAAATGAAAATTAGTGAGAAAAAACTAACAAAACAAATCCACCGCCAACACCCCAGAACTTGATAACTACTAAAAGGGCTACCTCTTTCAAATGAAAAAAATGTTTGCCCCCAGCCCAACAATGAACAAGGCAACAAAAACCCAACTGTTCCACCTCTAACAAAACGATAAATAAGCTCCCTAAAAACCCTCTTTTAAAAACGAATAAGGGGGAAAACAGATTTGAGATGAACATAAAAACCATAACAGGCAACCCTCAACAGACCACCCCCCAGGCCCCCTACTTTTACCATTTTTTTTCCCCTCCGCCCCCTCCCTCACCCTCCGCTCACTCCCCCTCCCCTCCCCCGCCCCGTCACCCCCCCCCTCCCCTGCAACCCTCCCCTCCCCTCACCCTCCCCTCCCCCGGCCCTACCCATCCCCTCCCTCCCCTCCCTCCCTCCCCTCCCCCTCCCTCCCCTCCTCCCCTCCTCCCCACCCTCCCTCCCACCTCCCATCCCTCCCTCACTCCGCGCCTCGCGCGTCGCGGCAGCCCATCGCTCGAGCTTCTGATCACTCCTGCCCCTCCCGCGGCTCGCCATCGCGCGTCGCGCGAGCGCGCTCCCTCCCCTCCCTCCCTCCTCCCTCTCTCCCTCCCTCCCTCCCTCCCTCCCCTCCCTCCCTCCTCCCTCCCTCCCTCCCTCCCTCCCTCCGCTCCCTCCCTCCCTCCCTCCCTCCCTCCCTCCCTCCCTCCCTCCCTCCCTCCCTCCCTCCCTCACCTCCCACCCCTCCGTCTTTCGCTTCCTATAGGCAACATTTGAACAGTCTATAGCGGTACGCCTGACCTCTGTGCCTGCGAGAGCTCAGAGCTCGACTGCAACACACCGCGTTTGTATAGAAACCAGCCGCAAGTGGGATTGTGGCTGAGGCGCGGTTGCCAGCGCTCCAAAGGTGCCTATACCAAGGTGTCACAGGTTCCTTTCCTGAATTTGATATGGTTTCATTATTTCATTATTTCATTTTTCGCTATGCAAGCTTCGGCATGTGTCGTGAGTATCAGAAGTGTTTGCTCAATTGGTGCACGCACACCAAGGCGGATTCAGCTTCTGCAACCACAATGGGGGTTTCATCAAGCCTTGAATTGCGAGATGTGAAGATTGTCTGAGTGAGAAAGCTGCTCGCGCGGGCATGGGCAAGACTCAAGATACATGGCAAAGGGAATCCCCAACATGCCATGGAAATGAAGTGGCATGGAATTCAGCCCCAAGCAGGTCACACAGCTTGAAGAGGACAATTTTGTGCTTCGGGAGGAGCGCGATGTGTCGGGAGCCATGTGAGATTTGATGGATTCCAGTGATTGCCTTTGGTCTGAGGCTCAAGTCAGAGAACGACGCCCTATCAGAACAGACGCACGCTCTTCAGAAGGCGACATGAGAGCAGCTGCATGAGTGCAGCGCATATCCGGAGATGCGAGTGGCGTCTAAGAAACGATGTTAGGAGCACAGATTCCTGCATGAAAGCGGCCAGCACTCGTCTCAGAGGTCAAGATATCTTCGCACTACCAGTTGCTTTTCTGGATCGCATCCGACAGCCGCCGAGATCATTGACATTGCTTTTCTGGATCGCATCCGACTGCCACCGAGATCATTGACATTGCAGCAGTCGCGGCTCATGCAGGCCGAGAAGACAAATGTCAGGGAGAGGTACTTTGAGCATCAGAGTGAAATTGTGATCTCCAGGCACATGAGAACAAATCCAGCGAGGCCTGGTGCCCAGGAGGAGGCTTTCCCGAATGAGGGCAAATTGGCAGCACATTGCCTTCGTTTTCAAGGCGACAAGCTTGAATCAGAAGTTGGAGGCAGGAATACTACTTTGCACCAACTTGTGCCAGCAAGTGCACACTGGCTGCAGGCTGCACAGGCTTGCAACGCATCAGCATCATCACTGCACATCATGCATCAGGCTGCGCTGGATGAGAATGATCATTTACGATCTGCAGTGAACTCCTTGACGTCACACAAATCCCAGCCGGGCCCTGTGCTATCGGGTGTCGTGTTATTCAGACATCTACCTTGTTTCACGGAATGACTCTGAGCCTCGGTAGGCTTGAGCACACTGTTCGAGGCAGGTCTTGTTGGATTGGCGACATGCAGGATGCGCATGCATGTGTTCCTTGTAGGCCTGGAAGCGAACCTGGCTTTGGTGCGGAAGGAAGTGGAGCAGCGAGTGAGCAAACAGGCGCAATGGCCGTGAGTTCCCTTTGCCGCACCAGTGCAGATCGCATGCGCCCATTGCACCAGACGCGTGCTCTCTTGCATTTGTTGCTTTTGACGTGCAGGCAGTATTGGAGGAGCACTCCGCTGGCGGGGTGCCTGTGTCTTGTTCAGCTTTGGGTCTGAAGTATCGGACTGCGGAGCGTTGATCGCCGTCGAGCCCGGCTTCTCTTTCCGGCCAGGCCTGCAGCGGCAACTAGATCACGCGTTGGCCGAGAAGGTGCAGCATGACTTGCCGCGCTTTGGCAGTCCAGACGTCTCAGGTGAAGTCGGAGGCTTGGATCAGCAGCCAGCACGCCAGATGCTAAGCGGCGCTTGCCGAGGGATGGCCAGTTTAGGGGTCAGTTGGAAGTCTCTTCGGTTTATTGGGGCGGGCCCAACCCAGATGCCAGATGTGGGGCAGCCTTTTAGCTGTCGTGTGGGGAGTTTTTGTTTCGACCTCAGTTCAAGGCTCGAATATCCTCCAGCACAGGTTCTTGGCGGACCCTTGCCTGCCTCTGTTGGCAGAAGTATGCCATTAGCGCGCCTTGTGTTTTGCTGCTACTCATTTTGACGCACAACCCGCTTTGCAGTGCAAAGCTCTTGGGCTATCAAAAAGGCACCCGGAAGCCTTGCGGAGAGCTCGTTGAGATTCAGGTCGAGATCTTGACGCTGCAGCAGCTTCATGGAGAGCTCCAGGCGGAGAAGGTGGAGAAAGAGAGTTGTGCACAGAGAGTGTTTTTTTCTTCCCTCAAACTTTTTGAGTTTGTTTGACATTGAAAACAAGGGAGAATTGTCCAGAGAGCTGGAGAGAGCGAGAGAGAGAGAGAGAGGGGCACGGAAGTTTGGCATTGGCATCTGGTGTCCAGGCGCACAGCCAGTCAGTGACGCAAAAGATGGACGGCCTGGAGATCGAGCTGGCAAGATACCACAAGGAGGGAATGTTCCGCGACTTTGGAAAGGCACAGCGCTTGGCTTCAGGAGAAGGAAGAGCTGGACCAAATGGTTGGCTCGCCAGGAACTTGGCGCACTGGCCAACAGGAACTTGGTGCACTGGCCAATGGAGTCATGATTGGCTGCAGGCTCCACGCAGAGTGCGCCAAAGTGCGCGCGCAGCGAGACTCGGCGATGGCGGAGGTGCGGTGCTCTGGCCTGGCAGCATGGCTCTTTGGCTCCGCCAGGTGCCACACCTGAAGGCTTCACTCCAACAGCAAGAGACGCTGTTGCGAGACCAGGAAGCGCAGGCCGGCCGTTCCGAGCCGCTTGGAGCTGCTCGAGTTTCGGTGGCATCAGTTGGCACCGTGGACAGGTTGTTGCCCTTCAGCATCGGCTGAAAATGCTGCAAGATGCAAATGGGGCGCTGAACAAAGAGGCGGGCCACGAGCGAGCGCAAGGGTTTGGAGGGTGTGGAGGGTGTGGAGGGTGCGGAGTTTGCATTCTTCCATCGATCGAGGCCAAGCGCCTTGCGCTTTGCCTGGAGCGCTGCCAGGAGGAAGGCGCTCAAGCCGCGCAGGCTGCTGCGTCGTTGCGGGCCGAGAAGGCACAGCTCCTGCAGGCCAGTCGACTCGTACCATGGATCACGCTATGGAAGAAGCTCACTTCAAGCTGATTGAGTCCCATTGGTTCCTTGGCTCCTTGCAATGTGCTTCCCTCACTTTACTCAGTTTCTTCCGGACGGCGTCTTTTCAATTGGCTCGTTGCCCTGCCATTCCCTCTCTCCCTTCGCCGCTTGTTCCATTCTGGCTGTTGGCTGCCAGGCATTGCAGAGGCTAGAGCACATCAAGGTGTGGACCCATAGGTACAAGGGAATGCAGTTTGTCGCAGAGCATGGCAGACGGCTGATGAAGTAGCTTTCTTGCACCCCTCACCGTACACGGCCGGTCTTTTCAGCTGCAACCCAGCGGGTTTTGACCAAGCGGATTTCTCCCTAATCAATTTGAGCAGAGATCTGGCGGATACCCCGAGGCCCAGAGTGATGCATGCTACCAGTCTGCTAACAATGAGTCGGGTGTGTTACAGGCGCGGGTTCCGTTGCACACGCAACTCAGAAAGCCCACGCTCTTGTGGCTTCCATACTTGTGTAGTCTGTGAGGCGCGCTGCCAGCAGATGCATTCGGAAAGAGAACAGCTGTCCAGCGCTTTGACGCTTCATGGGGCACGAAAGATGCAGTGCTTGCAATAGGCAAATTCGACTGCAGCAGTCAGCCTCAGAGAACTCAGCCCTGAGGAGCTCATGTGCACGAACTGTGGGCAACTTTTGAGCCAACCTGCCGGCAGGAGCCGAGTCGTTGGATTGGAGAAGATGGCGTGGAGCTCAGAACAAGCTGTCACGAAGTCGCAGAGGGGCTTGCCAGACACCTTCCCTGCATGCGCGTCGCCACTGTTTCGATGTCCCTTTCCACGCCGGTGGGGAGTTTTGGACTCACTCCAATGTAGCTAGAGAAGGTGACTCTGCGGTGATGTCAGTGTCACTTCACTGCAGGTGCATGACGATGCGGCAGAGTTGCAAGCCCTGCAACAGAAGGCTTCCTTCTTAGGACATTGACTGCGGATCGCAGGGTCTGCATTGGTTCAGGTTTTGGGCTTGCAAGGGGAGAAGGCCCGCTTATGCCTCCAAGGCTCGCTTTTGTCGACTGTTCCAGGCTCAGATGGAGCAGATGCACGAGTCGCAGATGCACAAGTCCAGCTCGACAAACCACTTGCTCGGCCCTGAGTCACAAGGTATGGCCAAGCCACGAGGCATGTTGCTCAAAGCTCAGGTCCGGGGTGCCACATTCACAAGGTCCTGCTCTTTGAAGTCCAAAGTCGGCTTCGGGAACCTGGCGAATGGATTGCTGAAACCTGCAATGCCACTTTCCGCATCTTTAATGGCGATCAACAGGAGCGCCGTGCCAATGCGCAAGCGAAATGAGCGTACCCGGAGGAATATCCAAGGGTTCAAAGTTCTTGACCGCCTCGCTCGATTCCTGTTTCAAGTTGTGCTTTATGCCCTGCTTGGCTCAAGACGCTTCTTTTCTCAGGTAAAGCTATGGCCGGTGCCATGGCTAGGAGGTATAGTTGGCCTCTGGCAGAGCTGGTAGTGGTGTTGGCCGGAGGCTGAGCGGTGGTTGGCATTACCCGGCCCATGACAAATGCAGTCGACTGAGGCGAGTTTCAGCCTGCTATGCCTGCCACGCGGCTTTTTGTCGTCGCGGCCGGCATCTCTCAGGCCAGCACAATGCATGACCTGTACGATCATCAAACATTCCCAACATCTAATTTTCTCCCGTCACCGCTCGGAGTCTTGCGTAAAGTTGGCAGCATTCCTGTTTGCCGACCTCGTTACCGAGATGCCTTGACCGGCAGGAGTGATGTCCACAGCTTCATTAGCTGGAGACATCCACAGAAGGCACATCAACATTCGCACGACTGTCATTTGTGCGAGCGCAAGGGCAACCCTGCCGTGGGGGGAGGGAACAAACCACATGCTTCCATGGCAAGCAAAAAGGTTCAGGGGCAGTCGTATCAAACCTGGTGTTTGGCCAGACTCAAGCCACAGCTCCATTCATTGTAAGGTGGCCATGATCATCCCACGTTCGCGCTCGCTTTGTTCTCGAACGCAGGAAAGGGGGCCGGAGCCCATGCGGCTTGGTCCCCGCGGCGGCAGCGATCCGGTGCGCCATGGGTGGGGGTGTGGGGCTTGTGTGGTGCTGGGGTTCCTGTTGAATGCTATTCAGGTGAACAATGTCTCGCCTGAAATTGCAGAAGCTGGGCGGAAGTATGCTCAGCGCTATGAGGACAAACCATGAGTTAAGTTGCTTCTGTGGTTTTGCAGCGGTGAGCGAAGGACATCATGATGTCTGGGAGACAGCTTTGGCAACAGATGCTGAAGAAGGAGGAGGCTATAGGGTGCTGAAGCTGTGCTACTTGCCATGTCATAGTTTTGCCATTGTGTTCTCCTGCTTCTAACGGCCTGTAAGCTGTTCCCGTTATTTGATCCGCAAGACCTGGGCCAGATTGACTTTACTTGAGTACTGTCCAATTTGTGATGAGCCCCCTGACTCGTTTAGGTCAGACATGGTCTGAAGTGCGCTCGGACACTGTCATTGATGGGGTCCTTGTTGCAGACTGGCAACGAGAGAATGCTTTTTTGCTAGAATGCATCAATGACATGCTATGGACTTGGGGTGAACCATCCTTAAAAACTCAGGATTGCCACACTCCTTCGCACCTGTACCAGTGGTTTGCGTGAGCTAACAGTCCTGAAGACAATCCTGGCTCACAAGGTGGGGGGTTGATTGCTGGTCACTAGAACATCATGTAAACATGCTAGCATCTCCTTTGACAATTATTGGTGGAATCGTTTGTGTGGGTCTGGCACCCAGTTTGTGACCTGGAAAAAGTTCAATTGATCCAAAGGTTTGCATACTGACATGTCTTTATGCCACGTAAATCATTCTTTGCAATCAGATTCCCAAGAAGATCTACTTCATTGGGACTAACGGCAACACAGGCGCAGACAGTGGCGCTTTTGCATGTTGGCTACTGTGATTCTGAACTTGTGACAACGCAGTGCTTCGAACTTGGAAGGCAACCTCATAGCAGAAGCCTTGATGGACGGGCTGGCGTGCCCTTCGAGAAGCCATTCCTGCGCTACTGTATATATTAATATGCTTACACCCCCCTCGGATATTTATATATACAAATATATATATATACATACACATATTTGCATAATTGGCTGTTTCGTTGGCTTTGTTGGTACCTGCATTCAGGTATACCCCAGCTCCTGATGGCACTCTCTTTCTCCGGCGCAAGCGTTGGCCCAAGGGCCCTATTTTGGTTCGGTGAAACCACGCTTTGCGGAACGGAAGCGGAGGCCTGGCCAGGAGTATCCGAAGCTGGTGTATTATCTCGTCAACTCCGATAACGAGGTTCCTCGCTCATTCTTCGAAGGCTTCTTTTGCATGTCTCTGTTTCTCTCTTGCCCTCAGTTGGCGGCGAAAGCGCCGAAGTCGGCGGTGGACCTCTACATTGAGGATCCGAAGGCGGGGGGGACAGTGGGGTATCCATGCAGCGTGGGCATTTGCCGAAACAGTTGGCGGGAAAGGAATGAGATATTTTGTGCTGACTGTCAGCCCCGTGCCAGGAATATCGGGAGATTGAGACCACAGTCCTGAAAGAGTTTCAAGCGCTTGCCCGGGCCTAAGCTGTTTGGCCTATGGTTTGCGACCAGCTTGTTCCAGAGGTATCATTTCTTGACAGCAACCTTTGAACAATCCGTCACTCCTCGTGTCAGAAACAAAGCAGCTATTGAGCCAAGATAGCCAACCTTGGAAGCGACTAAGGAGAACAAGGACGTTCCAGCTGGCATTGTGGTGGGCGAGAGTGCCGTAGATGTTCCCGAGAATGTGAGGGCCTGGGCAAGCTGTGTCACTCCCAAATCCACGGCTTCTTTGGGAGGCAGCTCATGAAGGTGGTTTGCATCGATGTTTGTTCCACGACATTCCACTTCTAATATATTGGACCAAGCGCAGCCTGATGAAATGCGGCAATTGTTTCTGTCGCATGAGCAAAGCAGCTGAGACTGTAAGGCTCTCTTTCTTTAAGTTGCGTTCAAAAAGAGTTGCAGGCATTCAAAAAGAGCTGCAGGTCCCATCTCAAGTGACATTGCGAGGTGGAGATCATGAAGACCGGATTGGTGGTGTGGATCGATGTGGGGGCTGAGTTTGCCTGGACTGCCCTTCTGAAACTTCTGCCTGTTGCCTTTCCGGACAGCCTGAGCTCGGAAGGAGCAAGACGCAGATGCGGCCAAAGCCTGGCGGCGGCCTGTTCATTCCCTTCGAGAGAGTGAGGCCTCGGATCGCATCGGATCGCATCGGATCGCGTCGATGTGATTTTCGGTAGGCCGCCGGTCTGGTGTATTGCCAATGGCTGGGATGGCGACATTGACGATGGCGAGGAGAGGGCGACTTCAACAGGGCTCCTTAAAAGATGCATTTGCCCATTTGAATCATGGTTCTTTTCCACCAAAATAAAGGGACACCACCATCTACAAAGGCAATGATCAGGTGTATAATGTAAGGAGCCCTGTTCAAAAAGATCTTTGGCTCTTTGCCTTGGACATCCCCCAGGCCAAACAAGAATATGCTGAGACGCTGGAGAAGTACAGCAACAAGTATGAGGATATTGCGCAAATTCGCCTTCGCGCAGTGCCTTGTTTGAGAGAAGTCCTTGCGTTGATGGCAGATTCAGGGAATCTTCTACGCCCTTGCTGGATGTATACATGTTTAAGAAGACATTCCCGATGTTTGCCAATGAATGATTGCGTGCTCTGAGAGTAGCTGAGTGAGATGCTTTTGCATGAGTTGAGCATCTTGAATGGCTGACTGATTGCATAAGGATGTTCCGGGAGTTGAAGAAAACCAGTATTGGGGCGCTGAGCGATTGGTCAAGGCCAGGTTGCTAGGGAGCCATTTTCGAGCGTCATTCGCATCCAAGAGTCTCGGCAGGCAATCGCCGAATTTTACGGCCTCAACACGGAAGGTGCTTCCGTCGAAGAGGTCTGCGTCTTGAGATCTTGGTGCTTCTGAGACCTACTGTAGCGGTATGAAGGAAGTCTTGGAGCGTGACCTGGAGAAGTTCCTGGAAGGTGCCCGCCTCTCAAAGTACTTGCAGGCGGGAAAGCTGGCTTCAAAGCGATCGGTTGGTGGCTGGCCATTGGCAGGTAGCTTTGGACTGGAGCTGCGCTCAGGGGAGCACTTTGAGTTGACATTGGTTGAGTCGGGATTGTTCCGCGGCCTTGCGAGATGGCAAATATGGGGATGTGTCAAACGAAATGAGGTGTTAAACCTTTGCAGAGGACCTGCAAGATGGGTGCATGTGTAGACCGAGCTTTGTGACCAAACGTTCTGAGCAAACAATAGGGGACATCTATCAACAAGCTGATTATTATTGTTTTGTGTTGCCCATGTTTGTTTTGGTCTTGTGGGGCAACGGATAGGCTTTACCCCGTTTTGCCTGCGGCTGCGGGATGACATCTGCGGCAATTTCTGCCAGATTGTTTCAACCTCAATTGCATGAAGCTTGCCTCGCCAGCCGCCGAAGAAGAAGAAGAGCAATCACAAGCCAAGATTGTAGCTGTTGGATCCTACAAACAACAAAGCAAGAACGTGAAAACACCCCGGTGACACGACATATTCCGTGAAACAACAAGGAATTCCGCCTCAAAAATAGAAAGGCATAAGACGCGTGGAGAATGTTGCGGCAACCTCTAGCGCTCTTCTCTGTTTTTCTTGTCTATTACCATTATCATCAATATAGTCATTGCTATTGTTATTACTCATTATGTATGTTTCCTTATTGTCATCATTTTTAGTATTGTTATTTTTGTTATGCCTATTACTATTATTGTTGTTATCATCCTTCTTTATTGTTGCTATTATGATTACCATATCTAATATCGCTGTGTTTATTAATAGTACTATTGTTGGTACTATTATTGCCATGGTCATTGCTTTGTTATTATTATTGTTATGTTACTAGTATCATTGTTTATTATTCTTGTCATTGTTATTGTTATTCTTATTATTATTATTGTTCTTTATTATTACTTTTGCCACATTGTAACTCAGTGCACGGGACAATTCTCCAACTACTACCTGCTGCATGCATCTAGAATAATCATTGATGTTGGGGATGTTGAGCAAGCTGACTGACACCCCTGCACTTTCTTGAACAACAGCGTCAGAAAGCCAAAGTCAATGCTGGGGCCCAGTGCTATCCAAAATTTCCTGCAGCCAACGCCCAAGGTGTCTCAAAATGACACTACCGACCAACAGAACGGATAGCCAATGTAACATTCTACCTGGGCAAGCCGATGTGTGGGATGCCATGCGGGCAGGTTGATGTCAGCGAAGCGCGGGTCTAGCAGAACAAGAAGCCAACCCCTGGACCTTTTTGGTTCGCTTCTTTTTTTGAAGCCAAAATGTGTGTTTCCCGCGCTTGCAAAGGTGTCCAGAAGTCGCATGTTCCCCAACAGCTGAAAGCTATGTCGCGGTCTCCGCCCAACAAATCGCTCCGGAGTCGGAGCTTCCGGAACTCAGCTCTGCACTCCCGCGAGGTGCGACGAACAAGGTGCTGCCACTATTGAGGACAAGTTGGGGGAGACCGATTTTTTGAGCATCCGTCATCATTCCATGTTGGGAGCCATGCACCCTGTGGGGCTTGATGAGTATCAAGAGAGAGCCAGGCAACCACAGCGCGACTGTAGGACATTGTGGAGAACACCGAAGACTTTGCAGACGTTGCTTGCTCAGCTGGCGTTGGCGTGGCGTACTGAACTTGACATTCGAATCACCCAGGCTTTGGGATTGAAGCCGCTGGAGCGAAAACGCCTGATGAAAGCAGCGGAATCAGTGCTGCTGTTGCACTTAGCTTTGCAGACAACCCCAACGTTATGCTTCTTGCTTAGGTTGCTGCAATGGCATAAGCATGGAGCCCAAGCTGTTTCAGAGCATGCCGGCATGGAGCTGTCCACTGGATCTTTTGGTGAATGCGTCCAGGATCACGAGATTCTGATTGGGTGTCCTCGGTTAAGCCGCTGCACACCTCCGGCTGCGGGGTTTCGCGCGACGGCCGGCTTTAGGAACGGCTGTGATGCAGCGCGCTCGGGGAAGAAATCAGCTCGTGGTCGGTGCGAGACTGTGCGGAATGTCGCGTTGCGAGACTTAGAGCCAACCGATGACCTCTGCTGCGATCTGGTTTAGCAGTCCAGTCTTAGGACTCCAAGCCATCGAAGATAAATGTAAGCACCTAATGTAAGCACCTAGAAATGTGACGTCTGCCTTGCACATTTACAATTTCAGGGCACGGCATCCTGTTTGGACGCTTGCCTCATGTCAGAGTGCTGGGATGGAACCAGAAGGCGCTCAGACGCCGGATGCCCAGTGTGGCTGTGCTGCCCTGAAGACTGTGGATGCTGCATGTGCAAGGCATGAAGCCGCAAATGCGGCCAAGGCCGTGGTATGCTGCATGGGGGTGATTTCGTGTGAATCTTTCACGTGGGATTGGCAGCTGACTGAACACCATATTCATGCTGTATGCCGGTTCATTAGTTGACCACTACACCCAAGCCGACAAATATGCCCTTTATTTAGTGCCTATAAAGTGGCAACAGCCGACTGCAGCCCCGGCCTTTCCCTTGTAAAGCCAGGACGTGCCCAGCGAAAGCAGAGAGCCTTCCACAGTGCCAAGTGCGCTGGTGACTGGTTCTGCACAGACAGGCCCTACGGCCAAAGTCCCAGTCGTTGCATCGGCCACCATCCCAGCAGCGATCCCACTCCCACCGGCCGCGGGCCAAGCGGCCGTGGCCGGCAGCGTAATCAGCACGCAGGCTGGGCACTTGTGGCGCTGTTCGCTTTGCTGCCTGTGCCTGCAGGCTTCTAGCATACCATCAACCGCGCGTGCATCATCACGTGGATCCGTGAGGCAGGAATGGTGTTGCTGCCAGAAGGGCCACGTGTGAAAGGAGGACACCTTGCAGCCTTCCATGATGCTAGCCAGCTTTGTGTTCTGTGGGATTGCCCAGAGGTGTGAAGCTAGTGCCGACTTCCGTCTTACAGTTTTCCCCCCCCCCCCCCCCCCCGCGACAACAGTCTTGAACCCCAACTCGGTGAAGATCAAGCATAGGTTCCCTTGGCTTGTAGCTGTGCTGTGGTAAACATCTTTGGGCCTGCCGTTGCTCGATATTACCAGAAGATCGAGAAGGGTCCAACCCGTTCTGTCCTTGGCTTGCAGCATTTTGAGAGCCCTGTGGCTCCGCGAGGGTTGGCAGCGTGGTGATTCCTTGCGTGCCTCAAGAGCCTACGAGTCGAGGAGAGCTCGAGCTAAATATCTCATGGTTCGCATCCTTTGCCGCAGGAGGCTCGCATCCTTTGCCGCAGGCTCCGTGCACTTCTTTTGTTGGGTCATGCAAGAAAAGCGATCCGCATAGGCATGGGCTTTTGGAAGAAGTGGAGGCAGGATTTGTCAAATGGAGCCCACCGGCATTGAGCTGCTTCTGGGATTGCCAGGCAGCCTGCCCTGTGCCCAAAGTTGGCAACCTGTGAGAACTCCGACAGCATCTCCATATCCGCAGCTTGATGAGAACTTTGGCTTTCTCTGGACACACGATTTGCCCAGGTCGATTGATTGCGGGGTTTGCTTCTTTTCAATCACTTCAAGGGTTGCTGTGAGTTGCACCAGTGCGGCCTGCCACATGGATGCCGCAGTTTGCCATAAACATGAGGCAATTCTCAGGAGGAGCCTGGCATCAAGCTGAGACTTGAGAGGAACGCGATAAAAAAGACACGGTGGAAGTCATGTTGCGAGGCCCTGCACACCCCGTGCTGCCGCCAAGAACTGAGGCTTTCGCAAAGTTCATGATGCTCACTTTGCTATGCGAACTTGCGTCTGACTCTGAGGTCCCTGGCACCCAGGTTGCAGCGTCTCCCGCTCAAGCGCCGCAGGCGCAGAGCAATCTGGCGACGTAGACCTTTCGGCACTGGAAAAGAGAGAGAGAGAGAGAGAGAGAGAGGGAGAAGGAGAGAGCAGACAGGTGGCCACGCCGCAGGTGGTGGTTGTCACTTGGATCAATGATTGGGAGTGCTGGATGCCTTGAGCGACCAATCAGGTCACTTGACTGGTTTGTAAATTGCTGACACGACGCGCTTTTACACGCACCTAACAAAGCAAACAAAGAAACAAACAACCAGCCAAAGAGAAAAATAAACAGCACAAGAAAGACACAAAGACACAAGGGCACAAGACACAAAGAAGCAAAGAAACAAAGGAACAATGAAACAAAGAAACACAGAATCAACGAATCAGGGAAAACCAAGGAAACCAGGAGAGAAAGAGAGAAAGAGAGACACGGAGAGAGAGGGGAGGGGAGGGGGGGAGCTTGAAGCTGCCGAGGTGAGAGAACTATCGCCGGGCAGGCGAGGCAAGACTTTAACCGAGGCCTTGATTACTTGCAGAATCAGAATGGTCTCGTTCGGTTCTACAAGCACAAAGCAGCATTATGAAGCATGGGATCAAAGTTTCTTGTTACCCGTCTCTCGCAAGAGCTTTCGAGTGCCAGGCCTTTGGCGCATCCATCTGTGGCACAGCGTGCTTTGTCACCGGGTGTACGCTTGGCAGCAAACAGCATATTTTTGAGATCGCATATTTTTGAGATCTTTGGTCGCTTCGGATCTCAGGTGCCACCTGCCGTAGTGTCGCAGCCGATACCTTCTCCGCAAGCCTTGCAGGCTGGTTGCGACATTCAAGACTCTGCTTCATGGAGTCTACTCAGACCCGTTCTTTAGGTCATGCTGTCTACTATTGCAAACGCTTTGTTGGAAGCGAATCTGAACCCGGGGTGTGCGTCAGGGGCAAATGTCTCCGGGGTTCGTGTTCCAGCCCAGAGCTTTGTCGCCAAGCAGGCACTGATGCAACGCGTTCTCCAATGAGAGGGTTCTAAGGGGAGTATTCGACAGCTATTCTACAGCTGTGTCGCGAGGCCAGCAGCAGTTTGGGCAGCTCCTGCTCAGATGTCCCCACGGCAGCCACCTCCAAATCGATTGCAGAGCAGTCCTCCTCCACCTATGACAGGCCATTCATCAAGCGGACGTTCTGAGCTGTTGCCTGGAACTGTCAGGGAGAGTGACGCTTGTCCGTGAGCGCTCATTGTCACCTCCGAGCTTGCCGCCGGCTGTTGGCCCAGTTGATGCGTTGCGCCATGAAATGGAGTGGGCAAATGGACGACAGGTGCCGGTGTTTCAAGCTGTGCCTCGAGCTATGCCGCACACTGCACTTCAAGCCGTGCCTGGAGTACCGGCCTCAGCTGTGGTGCGATTTGCGCCTCCTTTTGGCTTGAAGGTGCCTGCTGAGCCTTTGGCGCCTTCCGAACCGCAAGCCTCCAGATGTCTTTCTCCCCGTCCGGCCGAGAACTTTGGCGGATGTTGGTTGCGGGCTGCCACTTTGGTGGTGGCTGAGGTGGTCGTAAAGCAGGCCACCCCACGCGCACCGTCAGCACCAAGAACCGTAATACGCCAAGCCCTGGTCTCAGAGTGCATGCCAGATCAAGGGACGGGCCGAATGCAGGCTCAACAGATGATGCAAGCTCACCCGCGCTTTTTGCTTGTATGTTTGTCTTGAAGCACATTTTAACCACTTGGTTGGAGGTCGATACCTCACACACACACACATGCACGCATAGACACACACATGCACGCATAGACACGGCGTGCCCTTTCACCCGCATCACCCAGCCCACCGACCGACCAACCAACCCACCGACCGACCTGCTTGCCTGCTACTCAACCACTCCAACCACTCCAACCACTCCAACTACTCCAACCACTCCAACCACTCCAACCACTCAAACCACTCAAACCACTCAAACCACTCAAACCCTCAACTGCCTAACCCTCCCAACCCCTGCTATGCTATCAACACACACACACACACACGCACACAGTTGTGTTTATTTGGTTGCAGCCTCTACTGCAAATGACTGAACTCAAAGCGCAACAACTTCACAAGGTAGAGTTGGACAAAGTGTTCTGATTGGAGAGAGGAACCGTGCAGGTTCTTAACATGGTGCTGCGTTGAAGTCTTAATGGACATTTGCTCTCACTCTTCACACTTGCCTCTATATCTCAAGCTAAAAGTCACCAACGTGACGCATAACTTTATCATTGTGCAGAAGTGTCCACCTGCAATCAGAGCATTTCATAGCCGAGCTAAGATGTGCACCTTAGGTGGTGACTCCGCGAGGTCAAGTTGGAGCTTGTGCGCGGGCAGCTGAGGTGGACCAGTGCAGAATGTGGCACTGTGGCACACCCTTTTGTTCTTTTTGCTGTGATAGAAGCGGGCGCGCACAAGGGCGCGCAAGGCACAAGGTAGATCTTTCTGAGAAGTCCACTGTTTCCATGTTGCCATATGAACTTCCCAAGGCTCCAGCTTAGGCAAAGGAGAGAGGTGTTCTATGCAAAGAAAGCACCAAAGACCATCCCTTCATAGAAGGAGTTCAGACAATCGCAGTGCCCAATCTTCTCGATTCTTGGAGTCTGAGGCCAGCTGGGGTTGCAACCCCAGGGAGAGTCCTCGAAGGCACAGCTTCTTGGCAATCTCTTTGGGCGTCAGAAAGCCGTCCGGGTGCGTCTTTTTTCAGGGGACCCTCCCCCCAGAAAACAACCAACAACAACAACTTTCCCTTTTGGTTGTGTTTTAAAGCCACCCCAAACAGGGCACCTAAACAAAAAGGGATACGATGATATGTTCCGCTTGGTTGAATGTTGCGTGGAGCTGCATCCAATTCGCACCTCCAGGACTTCGGGCGTCTGCCCAGAGGCACGGCATCGACGGACAGAGCCGAGCGGCTGACGTGGTTGAAATTTGCGGCAGGCAAGGTGCGCGCACCACGTGGCGCATGCCGGTTCGAAAGGGCGCAGGACTCAGAAGTGGCATGGGAGTTCGCGCTGCGTTGCAGGGCAGACCCATTGAGTGGCTCGCTGCATTGTTCCGACCTGCGCGCAACTCACAGGTGCTGTTCGTTCGAGCTCGGCCGCTGGAGGGGTGAGGACGGGAGCTTGGCAGAGTCTGGCGCCGTTTTGGCTGACGTCCATGAGGACTGCTCCATCGGTGGTTCCTCCGGGACGCGCGGTGAAGGGTGCCCTGGCGTTGAGTTGGAAGGGGCGAGAGGGCTCCGCGACTGTGCGGTCCTGGCTTTTTGGAAGCTCAGGCTGTCCGAGTCAAGAGCCCATTTGCGATTCGCTAGCAGCCTCAGACATCTCACTGCTCTGGGACAGGAATTATTGGCGGGAGCAGGTTTTTTGCAGATTGAACTGCGAATGAGGCACCTACCAACAGCAGCGGGGCAGCTGCCTAGAAGGACAATCTCAAGAATGAAGAGGCATGTTTGCCTGAAAGTCGATCAAACAATGGCAGAACTATCCAATTTGATGGTTAGCGTCTGTCAAATTCATTTGTCTCATCTGCTTCTCTCGTTCTCCCTTTTGGTTCCTTTAGCTGTGCGTTTGTCGACGCCTTTGCGATTTTGCTTATCCTTCGTGTCTTTGTTTAGGTCTTTTTGCTTGCCTGACAGGTAGGTGTCGTCGGGAGATTACAACGGAGGGGTATTTTAGCTCTTTTTTTTTCCCCCGCTTTTGGCTTCTTGGCTTTTTGGCTTTTCGGCTTCTTGGATTTTTTTTTGGCTTCTCGGCTTCTGGGCTTTTGTTGGTTTGGCTTTTCGCATCCTCTGCATTCCCAGTTCCTCTTCGTTTTGGCATTTGCGGCTTTTCGCTGGTTTATGCAGCTTTTGGGGGCTTTGGCTTTTGCATCCTCTGCTTTCACAGTGCAGTGCCTCTCTGGGCTTTTTGGCTTTTGCACCCTTTCTTTGGCTTTTGGATTTGGCTTCCCGCATCATCAGCATCACCAGTTCCTCCCTGATTGAATCATCACTTCTTCGAACATCATGGGGGGGAAGCCCTCCCCCCAAACCCACCCGCTACCGTTTAGATTGCTTGCAGAGTAATTGCACCCCTATTTGAATCAACACTTCTTCAAACATCATGGGGGGGGCTGCCGCCCCCCCCCAACCCCTCCGCTACTTTTTAGATTTCTTGCGGAGATTGAATTGCACGCATTACTTTTTTGAGCGTCCAATTTCGCGAGAAAATGCTGCAAAATACGACTTTTTAGGTAATCTGTGCAATCCATGTATGTCTGTATGTATGCACTTCTTCGAACATCATAGGGGAAGCCACCCCCGCCAACCTCCCCCTGCCTTTTAAATTCTATCGCACCCTTTCTTGAATCATTGCACCCCTACTTGAATCATCACTTCTTCCGACATCATGGGGGGGGCTGCCGCCCCCCCCAACCCCCCCCTACGTTTTAGATTTTCTACAGAGATTTAATTGCACCCCTAGTTGAATCATCAATTCTTCGAACATCATGGGGGGCGCTGCCGCCCAACCCCCGCTACTTTTTAGACTTTTTGCAGAGATTGAATGCACTGTTCGAATCATCACTTCTGCGAACATCATGGGGGGGCTGCAGTTTCCCCCCCCCCCCCAACCCCCCCGCTACTTTCTTTTTAATTACAGGGACTGAAATGCCCTCCTATTTGAATCATCATTTGTTTGACCCCCGTCACCCCGCCAGCTACTTTTTCGATTTTGTTACCCACGATTTGTTGGTGATGCTAGGGATGTTGATCGGACATGCGGGGGATGTTTAAAATGATGCTGGGGATGTTGACGGGCTAGTGTAAAATGCGTCAATTTCGCGAGAAAATGCTGTTAAATACGATATTTTACTGGCCCGGACGAAAAACAAAAAAATAATTTACAAAACAACAAACAAATCGAGAAAAAATCCAAAATAAATCCGCGCCCGATTACAACTTGGCATTCGCACTCCTCCACTCCAGCCAAAGCAAATCAGGGCCCTTTCCCTGAGAGGGCGGGATTGCTCTGTGAGGATACCCTCGGCTCCGAGCAGAGTGCCTCGGCAGATTTGCTGCAGCCGCCCATATTTCTAGCGGCATGCAGCATGTGAACCGTTTGGCCATTTAGCACCGGGAGCTGTTCTGCCTTGCATGTGCTGACCTGGTGTGCAGCCAGGCGCAGCCGGCAGAGTCGCCTTCAACTGCAGCGGCAGAGATGGTTAGCCTGTCATGTTGGCCTTGCAGCAAGGAATGCTGATACGCCACATGAGTTGCCCTTCCATGTGAGACTTTCATTGACACTTTTGTATCCTGTTCAGGGAAGGCTCAATTTGCTGCACAGCTGCCTTTATGCCTGTCGACGTGAGTATGGTTTGGCCATGCTTCCTGCAAATGGGAGCCTTCAAGCATGGCGGTCATTCATCGACTCGCAGCTGCAGCTCCAAGACCGCTGCAGCTGGTGCTGAGGAAGTACTTTTCTTCCGAATGCCTCAAAGGTGGCAGATCACCTGAGACTAAGACTTGCCACGCGATCCAGAGTCAATTGGAGAGTCGGAAGGGGTTGCCTTTTCCTGCAGGAAAGGTGCACGGAAATCTGGCCAACAACATGGCCTTGTCGGCATGTGAGCGCATGAACCTTTGGCAACAGGCAGTGCATATTCTGGCAGAGATGGTGTTGCTTGGGGCGCTTGTGACGCGTGGACCCGCCCCAGATCTTGTTTCCTACAACGCAGTCATGGGCGCCTGCGCTGGGCAGCACCAGTGGCAAGTGGCTGTGAGTCTCTTTGTACAACTTCCGAGCCGTGGTATTGTTCCTGATGCAATCTCACTTTCTGCAGTGGTGGACGCCTGCAGGAAAGGATCTCAGCTTGGTCTTGCGAAGAATCTTTCTCGTCAGTGGACTGCCCAATGCATGCAGGCAACTCTGAAGAGGTCAATACCTACGGTATCAAAGTCCTCATCCAAGCTACCTTTACCGGATTGCCCCGGTTTGCCGCTTCTACCTCGCTATGCCCATGTAGCTGTATCAACGTTGGTGACACGGACACTTTGGTCTGAGGCTTTGAGCATTTTTTGGGCGCTGGCGCCACGTGTGCGAATCGATAACGATATGCTGAACGCCGTGCTGAGAGCGTATCAGCTGGGTCAACGATCATCAGATGCCCTGGCCATGCTGCGGCAAGCAGAGCGCAGATTGCCAGCCTCCTTCAATCTGCCTGACCCAGATCGAAGAAGCTACCATATGGTGATGGAGGCCATTGGCATAGAGTTTGCAAGGGAGGCAGAAACTATCCCACATGCGTTGGCTGGCCTTTCTGGATGGCCACATATCTTACAATTGCTTGAGGACTTGTGCAATCGAAGGCTGCAGCCGAACACGCGAACCCTAAATCTGGCAGCAACGGCATGTTCCCGTTGCCATGCCTGGCAACAAGCTTCTACCCTGCTCCGCAGCCTGCACGATCGCCAGCTCCAATGGGACATTTTCACCTACAACGCAGCCATCCAGGTCTCTCACCGGTCAGCGACGTCAGCGAGCGGTGCAGGTGACCTTGGAACTTTACTGCGGCGCCTGCACGCGCAGCGGCTACAGCCCAACGCAGTGGTCTTCACCACAGCCATCGGGGCCTGCGAGCGCTCCCATCGATGGGAGGAGGCCATCCACTTCCTGCGACTGGGCGAAGGCGAGGTCGGCAACCTCATCACCTACAACTCGGTGATGGGAGCATGTGCCGCAGGCTCGGAATGGCGGAGATCTGTGGGAATATTTCAGCAAGTGCTGGAAAAGGGGCTCCAGCCAGATAGTGCCAGTATGGCGAACCTCTTGAAAGCTTATGGGGCTGCATCTGGCTGGCAACATGCTTGCTGGGCCCTTTTTGATTTGCAATCGGCCCTTGGGTGCACAACCTCCTGGCAGCACTACTTGTCCGTTGCTGACTGCTGTGGCATGGCAAGTGAGTGGCAGCATGCCCTTCGGATCTTGTTTGATGTGCCAAGCAAGATACCTACGGTGTATCGCTACAGTGCCGCTATCGGTGCCTGCAAGAATGGTCTGGCAGCTTCGCACGATCGCTTCGAGCTGTGGAGACACGCCTTGGCTCTTTTCTCCTCCTCGGCCCAGCTTTTGCATGAGGGGACTCCATGGCAGGCAATCTTTGAAAAGACCGGGCCAGCATGTTTCATGCTTATGGCCAGGTCCTAGGATGTTGGATGCGCCCCCCAGTGCTGCGTTTACGGGGATTTGTTGATTGGTTGTGCGAAAGAGGCAAGGTGTATGTGGTGTAGTTGAAGAACCCTGAGGCGCATGACAGCATCAACACCTCGAGCGCGCTCATCAGTGTTTTCGAAAAGGTTGCCATGTGGCAGCAAGCCTTGCAAGTCCATTCCCAGATCAGGTCGCCGAACATCGTAGACAACATGGCGGTGCTGGTGGCGCTATGCGCTGGTGGTGCACGGCATGTGGCCCAAGACGTGTATTCGAGCAGTGAATTGCCCTTGAGATCACTCAGGTGGCAAGACGCTTCGGTGCTTCCTATTCTGGATTTGCACGAAATGCCAGTTGCGGTTGCCGAGCTTGCGGTTGAGTGGGTGCTCGACAAGCTACAACATCAAGAAGAACATGGAATCAACGGGACAATCCTGCATGGCTTTGCTGAAGTTGATGGAGCAGTGCTCCAGATTATTACGGGTCGCGGGCTGCGCAGTCAAGGCGAAGCTATGGTGCGCACTGCGGTCATTGCCTTGCTCAAGTCCCGACCGGGAGTTGTCCTGGAGATGGATCAAAGAAATCCTGGACTTTTGAAGTGCAGGGTATCCAAAAATCATTGAAGGATATGAGTTTGCTTGCAGTCTAATTGCGTGGGGGGGGCAGGATTGCACTTCACCATGATTTTGCTGTGGCAGGATCCTCGCTTCATCGCATTCAGAGACATGCTCAGCGAGCCAGGTGGTCTGGAGGCGAGGCTACAAGCCACTTAGCCACTTACGTTTGGACCATGGCCTTTGAAGCTTTATCTTGGGGTCTTTGATGGTTTGATCTGGGCGGGCGTGCATTGGATTGTGAGGCGCCCAAACGACAACCATGCCAACTGCCCAAAGCTGCATATTACTGTCAGGATTTGCCTTGCCCTTCCCACCAAGCACTGACCGAGCACGACCTCGCTTTGCAGGCAACATGCCAGCAGCTGCTGACCAGGCTGTACGGCACCTAAAATGGCGCGCCGATAGATGTCGACAGCTTGTTGCCAAGGCAAGCTGGCAGCTCTGTGCGTTGGGAGGAGCCCTGCAAGCGGAGGGCATGATGAAAGGATTTTATTCAAGGATCTGTCCGTTTATCTTCTTGACTGTGCTAGTCAGGCTGCCCCCTGTGCAAAGGTCAATGCTTCTTGAATTGACCTGATGGTCAAACTGCAGTACGGGTGACATCCAACGATGTTGGGAATGACAGTATTGCTTTTGCTCGCTTGAGAACACCGCAGGAGTTGGTGAACCTAAATCCCATCACCACTTTGCTCGAGGCACTCTATGGCTAAACCGGTGTTTGCAATCAACACCGCATGGTATTTCGAAACAGTGTGAAACCTAACATGCAGCCCAGTCTACTCAGAATCCCTCTGAATCATTTTGCAACCCCAAATCATGCTGTCCCCAGTAGGTTTCTCAAGGTAGCATGTCTTGTTGTCGTCGTCGTTGTCGTTGTGCTCGTCGTCGTGGTCAACGTCCGTCAATGTTGTCAACGTTGCCATTGCCACCGCTGTCAAGGTTGTCATCGTCATCATTTGGTGGCGTTTTTTCGTGGTGGTGGTGGAAGAGGTGGTAGTGGTGGTGGTGGTGGTGGTGCTGCTGCTGCTGCTGCTGCTGCTGCTGGTGCTGGTGCTGGTGCTGGTGCTGGTTGTGGTCATGGTTGTGCTTATCATCATGATGGTTGTTGTGGTGTTCATTGGCGTCATCCTGGGCGTTGCTTTTTGTGATGATGGTTGTAATGGTCGTCGTGATCATTTGTCGTTAGTTGCGGTTGATCGCGATCGTCGGTGTCGTTGTCGTCGTTCTCAGCGTAATGTGCAGCGACACATATCACCAGTTTGGGTTGCAGCATTTTTGGTTGACATTCGTTGGACGTCACACCAGCCAGCATATAACAATGATGCCATAGGTCAGAAACTCGACCGCTTTGTTCGTTGTGCAGACGTGCTTTCTTGCCCCAATCAGATTGGAGCCGGGGTGGCCTCCTCGCCAACATGCTCGCGCAAGGCTGCCACAGGCTGAGTGATCTTTCAATAGTCTTTCAAACAAGTTGTCAAGCACGGTTTCAGCTGACATGAAGAGCACCAAACTCGCAGCTATCAGCTCTCAGCATCATAAGCGACCTTGCCTCACTGACGAAAGTATGGCTCTCCCAATGAAGTCTGCCATGAAGTCCGTGATGAAGTCGGCAACGAAGTCCATGAAGAAGGGCACAAAGCCGGCAATGAAAGCAAAGGTCATGAAGAAGAAGGCTGTGAGCAAGATTGCAAAGGGCAGGAATGCCAAGGCGGTGGTGTTCAAGGGCAGCAAGGAGAAGACAGCGACTCAGCTGACGAAGACCGATTTGATGAAGAATAAGCGAGGCCGCGTAGTCACCAAAAAGCAGAACGCCGCAGGCAAGAAGGCCTTCAAGAACATCTCAGCATGGACTGAGGCTGTGACGAAGGCCAGAAAGGAGCTCGGCATCAAGGGCTTCTGCGCAGTCAATGGGAAGACATCTCAGGGCAAGGCTCTCTATGCCAAAGCCAAGGCTATCTTTGCTGCATGATAGAGCCACAGTGAGGGCGGCTTGCGTGGTCATTCACGGAGCAGGCCCCATTGCTTTTGTGCTCCCTGGTCATTCTACTGTACAGCTCATTTTGGGCGCCAAGGGGATAGCAGTGTTGTTACACTGCTGGCTCGAGTTCAAAGAAGTTGTTTGTCTCAGCATGTGCGCCATTTGGGAGCAGGCACGATTGAAAGCTTCGGCATGCTTCTGATTCCGGCCACATCGTTTTAGTTGCAGCTGAGGTACATACTGCCTACCAGGCAGGTTTTTGCGGATTTGTAATGCCCTCTCAGCGCATTACATTCCCAGGAGGACGGGGAGGAGGTGCCCAGTTGCAGAGGCGGCCCACCGGTTTGATGCAATTGAATCTTGGATGTAGCCAAATTGAGTCTTCTTGTCATGCTTTCCTCTCCACAGTCAAAATCTGGGTAGATGAAGGTTGGTAGGGCTAAATCAGTGCGAAAGCCTTTGACTCATTTACACTACGGGACAACATGGCAGTCTCCTTGCAAGACTTTGCATTGCCATGCCCCCCCTTTCTCCCGCCCCGATGTCAGGCTGGTGGCGAGCCCTGCTAGCAAGGCACAGCCTGTACGGCCCCGGAGATGTGCCACGCCTTGACTGCGTGAGAATTTGGCTGTGCCCCGCACCTGTTCGTATGGGTAAAAATTAAACCATCAGGCAACCGCAGGTTTTAGTCTTTGTTTCCATTTACCAGGGTTCCATTCTAAGTATTTTGACCCACACCCAACTGAGCGTCAGAAGTTCCGACAGTGCTGTTTTTAGCATTGGAAGTTCCCAAAAAGTCCGCGACAGTTGTGCGACATGCCACGAAGGCTCATGAAGCCTCTCGCGGGAGCCGCGCGGTTTGACACAGGCGACGCCACTTCACAAAGGCTAGCTAAAAGCAGTTGGCTACAAGTCCGCGAAGCCACTCCGCGAAGCCACTCCGCGAAGCCTACTGGCAATGCTCGACAGTCCCGATACAAGCTGACTTGTTTGTTAGCCTGTGGAAAGTGTTGCCCTTCAACAGCATTTTCAAGCTCAGTCGTTTTTTTTTGGGATACTCGTCATCAAGCTGAGAATGCTGTTTCCTCTTTGGCTTGCTTTGGCTGGCGCCAGGTGTCTCGGTGCAATCCCCTTCTGTTCGGACGTCCCAGGTGCTGGGTGCAGCAGAGCTGTCTGAACTTGTTGGGGTCGCTCTGCGCTTCTTGCCGCGAACTTATGCTGGTGCAGCTGGCATCTCAAGACATGGGAGGAACGACAGAGAGAGGCCTTTGGGACTGGGTGGTGATTTGAGCAATTTAAGCAGCCCACGCCCAAGGCGGGATCGGTATGCACCACAGGCGCAGAGCCTGCTTCCGAACTTTGAAGCCACAAAACAGACCAAACACCTTGTTTGGCAATTGGCCTGAAAAGGCCTTCTTGCGGAACCTGCGGACGGTGCACTGCGGCTCGCGCCTCCCCAAGTTCAAGGGACGGCGCAGCTTTATGGAGTTTCTCGTGTAAAGCTTGGGTGGGTCGTTTCATAGGAATCGGACCCCTCTACACCGGGTGCGTTTTCCATTTGGTTTCCCTTTAACACCACCAAAAAAGGGTGCCCTGAAAAAACCCGCGCTTATGGAGATTCTCGGTATAGACCTTCCATGCGCCTAGGAAGAGGCTGAAAGAGCTCTATGGAAGCTTTGAGTTTCACTCTCGTGGCATGATGGGAAAGAGCTACAGGCTCCAGCTGCGCTGCTGCGCTGTTCACTGTCATACTTTCACGGCTCAGTCATTTTTGCCAACTACTTCCAATGAGTGCTAGTGATGTGATCCTGACAGGTGCAGAAGCCGTCTTACGCGAGAGGAGCATATCTGTCGGCAGGCCTTGATGCGCTGTCGGCATTGGGCTTATGCTGTGATCACACTAGGAGGCACAGGTTGAATGAATTGGCGAAGCAGTAAACCCTGAAAGCCGGCCAAGAGTCTTTTGTGTTGGTACAAAATGAAGGAAGTCGAGGGCAATCGGGCACAAGCGACAGTGGCTCAGATTGTGCACAGGTCTGCAAAGACAAGGTTCCCGCTCCCTCGGATGTGGTTCGGGCAGAGGCTGCGGGGCAAAAGGCATGGTGCAGTGCAGAGGCGCCCATTTCACAGGTGGAGATTTTGAGAAGTCTGGAGCATCCGACTCTACCACAGGCGCACCATCCGCGACACGTCGGTGTTTGGACGGCCATCCAGTCCCATTCTCTCACCAAAGTGCATCAGTCAGCGTGTTGTGTGATGTGCCCTTCTGCTTTGAAGACACTCCGCAAGTTGATGTCAGATTGCATTGTGCTCATGTTGCTGTCCCGCTGTGGAGGTGATCGCTAGCTTTGAAGACTTCAACAATATCTACATCGTGCATCGCACCCAGGCGTCAAGGTCGGTAGGCCTTGTCAGACTTGAAGCACAAGACAAATGTGCAATGCGGGCAATTCCAAGGCTGGAGCCGGTGGAGAGTGTGGAGCTGGTGAACGTGTTGCGACCCTGGCCTGTTGGAATTCGCCGTCGATTGAATTGGCCAAATTGGTTTCATAGATCATGCTATGTGCATCTTTCAAGGGAAGAGCCTCTTTGCCGTTGGCAGGCAGCAGTGGCATCAGACTGGACAAGGGCTCAGCGTTGGCTGGTTGGCTCGAGCCCCAGTAGTCAGCGCTAGTCAAGTTTTGCTAACTTGGGTGTGGGTCAAAATTAAACCACCAGGGGACCGCAGATTTGAGTCCTTGGTTCCATTTACCAGGCTTCTATTTTGGGGACCCATTTTTGATCCACAGCCACTTATCAGTGGAAGCAAGGCAGTGATTGCGCGACAGCTTCTTGAAGCCTTCAGGCATGCGGAAAGGGTGTGGGAAAGGGTGTGGGATCCTTCACTAATCACATGAGAAACTGACAATGGGTTTAGGGAACATGGTGGCAACAATCCAATTGCTCACAAAAACCAGAGGAGAGATAGAGAGAGTGAGAGAGAGAGCTCAATTTGTCAATGTTGCTTGGGGAACAATTTTGTCCGTGGGTCACATAGATGATGCGCGATTCCAGGCATTGCCACGAGCTGCGACCACGAAGTGCCCTGCTCAGAGATTGAAGGCTCGAGCTCGCCCAACAAGATAGTCTTGTTGAGTGAATCTCCCTGCCGACAACTCGGTCAACACTTGGAACATCTTCTAGTCTTATATCTTGCCAACTAGAATGGGGATGGTAGGAACGATTTGAATCCTAGGTTCAGCCAAGCTATACATAAGGCCAGTTGTTCTCCTCGTTTCATGGGTTCTGAGGCCTTGTCCACGGAGATCTGCGGCTGACGAGCCTTCTTCTCTCCGCCATGACAGATGCCAAAGCCGCCCCGCAGTTGGTATTGGCAGATTTAGGCAGCAGCCTCAAACCGGATGGTGGGGCTAGCGTATGGATGGTGGGGCTAGCGTCGGCGTGGTCGGGTGGAGGGTTGATTGGGTTGGTTGGGCTTGACACGTTGGAGAGCTCGCTGGTTCGTCAGCAATTCGATATCTTGGGTTTGCCAGATTTCGATGGAGATCCTTCATGTGTGGAAAGGGCAGTCGGGTTGGCTGTTGCAGGCAGTCAACCACTCTGGGGTGCGCGCTTTGATCATGCATCTTGTTGTGGGGTTGTTACGGGCTTTTGTGGCTCCAGACTCCAGAGCTTTTCCTGTTGTCGGAAAGCAATTGTAGTATCCAAGCTAATTTACCTTGCGCCACCCATCCGCGTGTCACGCTGGCTCAACTCATCTCAAGGCCTGGCTGGGCTGCCGTCTGCGCCTCGCGAGGGAAAAGCCGGGGACTCATGGCCTGCCTCCAGGGGCCAAGTGTCAGAGTGCCGAAAAATGCGTCATAACTGTCGCCTTGTTGCAGCTGCGCTGGGTCGTTTGCCCATGAAAAGAATGAATGTGTTTGTATATATAAATTTCTCAGGGAACGTGACTGGACAAGAGACATGCATGGCCCCGAAGCTCATGCAAGGTGTGACCAAAAGCTTACTGACAGGATGAAAGCCATCAGCCCTATCAATCAAGAACTTTTTGCCTGAGATCATTTCCTGATTTGCCACTGGGAGGAGACGAGGCTTTCACAACGTCCGCTTCGAATCTCGAAGTGCACGCACACGAAGCGCAAGTTGCGTCTGTTTCGCATGGCAGGTGGGAAAGAGGTACAGAGTGCCATTTTTCCCGGTGTGTTTTCAAAAGTAGTTCTATTGGAATGGCTTGAAGGGAAACCGATGGACACCTATGGACCTCTCACCCTTTGGGGTTCTGCCCGAGACCAACCCGCAGCCTTGCCATGGCCCCTGCGGCATCGCGTAAAGCGCGACGCCAGCTGATGGATGCGGCGGCGTTGGAAGGTGGTGGGCGGCAAAGGCTCTGGCGGCCTGCTGGTGCGCGAAGGCGGGTTCCCCACAAGTTTGTGATCATCTCCATTTTGGCACTCCCCTTTCAGCGTGAGCCCAAAAGAGGTAGCCTGATCTTGGCTGATTCACGTTGCTTTACATTCGTGCCATGTGCAAAACTCCTTTTTGATATTTGAGCAAGAGTGTTGCGGGGCTCTTAGGGTTTAGGCTTGAGGTCCGACACTGCGTGACTGACGTACACATCTGTAACGCGGGCAAGCTCTGCAGCTAGTGCAGCGGAGGGAGAAAGCATCCTGTGCATCCTTAGACTTGTCTAACAATTGCTTGGGCGCTTGCTTGACGTGACCCAGAGAAGTTTTTTCTTGTTCTTCTCTCGTAAATGCCAGGTCGCTTGCAAATTCATTGGGTTGGTTCTTTTTTGGCGCATTTCTTAGTGCTAGGTGCGTGTTCTTTGTTCACTCTGCTGGGACTTTGCAGCTTGGTGATGCTGGGGATGAATGGCGTGTGTTCCTTTGCAAGGAATAGCAAGCTCTTCCGGTAATCTGGGCGAAGTCGCGACTCTTGGCTTCTCATGGTTTGGAAGCCTGCGGAGTCTTTTCATGTCGTGCCCTTGGAGCTTCATTGACTGTTTTGTTTCTATGTGGCCCTGCTCGAAAACTCCGCACTCTGTTGAATGTATTGAGCAAAGTCGGGTCGCGCTTCCCGCGGCCGCTTCCATCCAATATGTGGCAGTGTCGTTTTTCTTTTTCGGGGACGACCCAACAAATGTTGGTTTGCCACTTGGTTTCCCGTTGAAACCACCGGAAAAGGGGTGGCCTCCAACCGAAAAGCACGCACCTGTCGCGGCCAGGCCCGGAGCTGAGCGCCAAGGCTCTGTTGCAGAGACTGGCCACTGGAGCAGTTGTGGAGGACCGAGTGGACATGCAGTCGGTGGAAGTATTGCTTGGGGAACTCTTTTTTTTGAGATGGAAATTGTAGGTGTTCTTTTCCAGATTGCCGGATTTCCAGCAGCATCCTAAAAACTTCTGCATTTGGGATTGCATCCGCCGGCAAATAAGAGTGCTGCTCGCGCACGTTTTCACGGCTGGATTGTATCACGTAGCTGCCCGCGAAAAGTTCAGGAACGGTATGTGAAGGCGCACAAATGCACAGGGGTGTATGGGGCATTTCTTGGAAAAAACTATCCGATCATGACGATGAGACACCAGCCTGAGCTTCTTGACAGTTGACTTTTGCTGGCAGCATCGCTACAGGTGTCCCTCAAACTGCTTTCATATAGTCTTAATTCGTCAAATGCTTTGCCAAGTTTTGATCTAGTAACTTGAAAACCCATCTCAAAGCCGTGAACGCACTGCACAGGCAAGTGCCCTTATGGGGGAGCAACCTTGGAGGAGCGTGAGATCCTTTCAGTCAGAGGTTGCGACCGGCTCCAATTTCTAAAGCTGCTTGGGCCCGGTCCAAAGGCAGGATGGGTCAGTGTCGTGGCGAATGGATCACAGCTGATGGAGCCACTGCCGCCCCCTCGGCCCCAGGAGGAGGACATGTCAAGATGGCTGGAAGAGACGCGGTACCAGGAGGTTGCCAGCGTGCGTCTGATTCTGGCGGCCGACTGCGCCACTGTCGGGGAGGCGGTCTCCGCTTCTCTGCAAGGAAGGCCATGTCGAATTGGTCCGGATGCTTGTCCCGGCACAGGACAGCTGGCATGGCGGGATAAAGGCGAACAGACAGGACTACCACTTCCGCTGCCCATGTCAGAGCAATGGCGAGAGAAGGCATTTGCAACGACAGATTTTTCGGAAGCTACGGTATGGGATGGAAGTGTTGGAAATTCTAGCATGTCCTTTTCACTAGGCTTGCGGCCTCTCTTTGACAAAGAGCTTTGTGAATGGGATGCTGCCCACCATCAGCTGAATATCACAGTATTTGGGAAGGTGTCCACAAACGATTGGTACAAGCGAAACCTAAAGCCTCGCAACTACATGACGTCTCGGATTGAGGTGTGGGAGCAAGCGTGTGCTCATCCCGCAAAGGATTTCTTCCTGGAAGTCAGCAGTGATCTCATCCGCGAGGTGGTCACCGCAGCCGTGGGCGTCCGAGGCTACCGGGACCTGGCGGAGCGTTTCCAGGCGCAGAGCGTGTACTGCACCTGCTGCCTGCGGCCGAGCGGTGAAGGCCGCACCGAGCTGCTGCGGCAGCTCTGGGGCGGCACGGCGGTCATCGAAGCGTCTCCGGGCCCGAGGCCCGCGGGCAGACCCGACTTCGACAACGACCCCGTGGCGCTCATGGCCAGCCAGATCTTGTACATGCTGGACATTGAAACGCGGGTTTGGGCGTCCATACAGGGCTTCCCCTTGGTGGACATTTGGCGGGGAATTCGAAGGCCCTTCCAGTGGGCAGTCTTTTCAGCCATGAGTTCCGCAGCTTCGCACATCTTCGCATTGGGAAGCGCTGCAGACTCTACAGTGGAAGTGAGCGAGCTTGAGACGAGCCTTGTGGACGAATTAGAGCACATCTTGCCCGGGCACAGAAATGCTACTGGGAAGAAGCAAGGTCAGTTTACTGAAGGATCCGTGGATGTCCTCAGCTTTGCACAGCTCTTAGATCGGGTATGCCGACGTGCTGACCGAACAGTGGACATCTTCCGGGAGTTTGTAGATCTAGGTTCCGGGCGCGGCCACGCGGTTCTCACGGCCCATGCGCTGTTCCCGTTTCGAAAATGCACGGGCTATGAGATCGATCTGGAAGCCAGGGAAGCCGGCAACATTGCAGCCCGCGCGTACACGCAAAGGGGGATTGTTCTGCGCGCCAGGTCAAGCAGCCACCCTTTGAAGATGTTTGAGGCTTCGGATTTCTTAAGGGACCTCCGCTGGCTTAGCGCCTCTCTGGTGTTTGTGAATGGAGTGACATGGCCAAATGAGATGATTGTCAAAGTCTCCAAGCTGGCGTTGGATCTGAAACCTGGGGCCATCATAATGTTGGTTGCGCGACGATTCCCCGCAGATGATCTGAATGTACTGGAGCACTTCGACGTGCGGGGGGATGCATGCTTTCTGAGTTTCACTGACAAGAAAGCGGTGCAAGTCTGGGTCTATCAGCGAAGGCACACGAGGTCCTCGTCAAATCCGGCGGACTGAGACCCATTCTTTGACCAGGCACCTCCAAGCAGCTCCCTCACGGACTCTGGACAGAAGCTCGAGGTGTCGGAGGCGCAGACATGCCGACTGAAGTCGAAATCATAGCGCTGCTGAAGTCGAGGATTCCCAGAGGTGATCCTGATGTCGAAGGCGAAGCGCCAAAGAGCAGCGCGCCATGATACATCCGGCACTTGGAAGAGACATTGTGTGAAGGGCGCTGCGATGTTCATAAGTTAGACATGTGAAGGGGAATGCGGTGCTACAGGCCGGGAAAGCGGGTTGACTGTTTAGCTTACACTTTGAAGAACATTTGGAATGCAGCTGGGGGACCCCTCTCATTGCAAGGGTAGCAGTTCAGAAGGTTCCAATTGAAGGAGAGCTTGCACACAGCGGTATATTTGCGAATCTGTGCGTTTGTTGAACACGGAGCCCAGACATCTACTGTACATGACCCACAGTCCGAGCCACGCTTGCAGTATGTGTTGACCGAGGCCTGTGGACCCGGGACTGGTCAAGAGGACACGGAAAATCGTTTATTTCGGCAGCGCAAGATGGCCTGAATCAAAGAGAAAAAAACTGTAACCCTGAAAGTTTTTAGTTGCAGGACTGGTCACAATGTCCAAGCCCTTTGCTGGATGTGTGGTCTTGCGGGTGGTAGTCTGAGCAGCCGTTTTTGCAACTCATCGTGTGACAGAGTGCACATGGAATCCTCAAACTGCCCAAATCCTTTTGCCTTTTCCTGAGGTGTCTCTTTTTTATGCTCTTGTCCGGGCACCATCCCTTCAGCGGTGATCCCGGTGGTCGCTTGCCACAGCCTCAGACGAGACCAGACGACCCGTCAACCCCTGCCGCATCAGGGTGCCGTCGGTCTCGCGACACGAGCCACCAGAGCCCGACTGGCGGATGTGCAGCTCCCAGGCTCCTGGAATCTCACCAATGTTAACCCCGGATGAAGAAACCCTGGTTGATTAATAGGGGGGTGTCCCCTGTTCGTGGGGATTCATCACTTTTGGAGGGAACACCCCCCCAAGAATGAAACGGGTCTATTAATCCTGGGTCAACAGTAGGTGCATTGGCAGGGAAAGCAGGCAGCACTGCGGGCACTGCAACGGAATTTGTGCTTTGGAGAGGAACCTTGGCCCAGGCTGCCTTCTGCCTCCTCTGCCTCGCTTTGCGCGCAGATGCTATCCTGGGACGTCAAGGCCCACGGTCTTGAGGGAATATCACGGACAACGGCTCGAACACATATTTGTAATCTGGAACTGGTAGGCCTTGCTGGAGCTGACAATACACGGGCATATCAAACCAGTTTACCTTGAGTCTGCCAGGCGCGCCCGACAGCTGCAGAATGTCTGAGGCATTCTTGGCTCTCTGCGGATGCCAGGCCCTTGGTAAGCAACGCATGTTTGGAAATGCGCAACAAAGATGCCTTCAATGTAGATGGACATTCGATGGATGCGTCAAATTCATGATGTTGCTTAGGATGTTTTGCTTGTTGTCCAAGGACTCCCATAATGCAGCACTGCCGATGGAGGTCGGGGTGCCGGGTTTCGGGTGTGAAGCAACTTCGAGCTTTTTTCCACGCTGATGAGATGTGTTAAGCAGAAAATAATCCGCGAGGGTTGTAAGATTCGAAGCTTGAGGCTCCCCATGCTCAATATGATAGCATGGTTGATTGCAGCTGTTGTGATCAAGGAAGACGCACCCAGGGCAAATGTTTTTCGATCTGCAGCTGTACAGGCCTTGGGGAACCTTCTGAAGTCGCATCACAAGTCCAAATTGCAGGAGGCGTGGCAGGTTCCTTCCCTTCTTTGCAGTCGTTGTTTCTGGGCGAATGTTATTAGAGGAACACAACTACTTCCCCCCCACACCAGGACGAGGGAGTCTCTCGTTGAAAGGGACAGCCAGCTTATGCTAGCGACAGCCAGCGAATACTAGCCGCCTTTCATGACGAGTTGTCAGAGCCGTTCAGATCACAGCCGGCTTGGCCATCTCCGAGCAGATCACAAGCCCCTTCTCGGCTGCGGAAGCCCAAGTGAGGCCTTTCTGACCGGCTTCCGAATTGGGGATGTGTGGAAAACCTTCCGAGCGCAAGCAGAATGAAGGGAGCAACTCTGAGGTTGGAGCTGCCTTGGCGTTGCAGCACACCTTCAGCGAAGGCTCGCTCAGCGCGCTCAGCGACGAGCTGTTGGCCAAGTCGGCCGAAAAGCCGAGGTGAGGCCACCCCGGGAGCTCAGGCGCGAAACTCCTTCAGCTCAGCTTTACGATCCATTGTTGCATAGGACGTGGCCGCGACCGTGCCTCTGGAAAAAGCAAACGAAGCGCTTGCCAAGCTTGGCATGTCAGCCGCGCGCTTACTGCGAATTCCGGCTCCATTTTTCATGTGAAGCACGCTTAACTACAACTTGTGCTGTAATACTGTGGATGGACGAAAACCTGCACCACCCAAGAAACCCTAGAACGGTGATTCCCCCTGTAAATACCAGCAAGCAATCGTTTCCATATGGTTTCCAAGAATATGTGTGGCACTTCTATTCGCCGGCTCTTGCTGGAGGCAACCGCTTGCCAAGGCCAAAGGCATCGACAAGGTCCTGAAGGCCTTCGTCGACGACCAAGGCGAAAGCAACGACTGACTACTACTACATGACTTGGGGTCTTTCAAGTTGCGGGTGTGTCAAAACAGGAGACCCTCACTCCGGTTTTCCTTCTGACTTCCCTTCCAAAACCGGAAGGGGGTTTCCCGCAAAAGACACTTATGGCCCGTGGCTTTCAAGCGTATCTTTGGACAGGCGTCAAGGTCAGCTCCGGGCTGCTCATCTCTCACTGCTCGGAGCTTGCCGAGGACGATGTTTTTGCATGCGGAGGGTTTCCAGTTTGGAGCTCATCTTGTGACAGGACTTGTTAGACCATGCCCTCTGGCGAGTTTTCACCGCCGCCACTATCTCAGCTTTTCCGATCAGAAACTGGGGGAGAGACATGCATTGCAGTGGGTGACCAAGACACACCTTCATAAATGCGCACGCCAAATCATTGTCTTACAAAGAAGAAACATCCCACTTTGCTACAGTACTCACTGCTTGTTTGCTTTCTTCCAACAAGCGGGCAACTGGCGATAGAACTGGGTTGAATGTGATGTGGCACGATTTGATTGGATGGGTGGGATGAGGATAGATTCGATGAGGTTGGATAGGGTCCGATGGGATGGATGGGCTGTGGCGATGTATGGACGGACCAACGGACGCATTGATGTGTATGTATGTAGTGCAATGTAGTACAATGTAATATAATGTAATGCGTTGCAATGCAATGAACCGCAATGTAGTAAAATGCAGTTTTGTGTTGTATCACAGTATAGTTCTGGTAAGTATGGAATGGTATGGTATGGTATGGTATAGTATGGTATGGTGTAGTATGGTATGGTATGGTATGGTATGGTATGGTATGGTATGGTATGGTATGGTATGGTATGGTATGGTATGGTATGGTATGGTATGGTATGTAATGTATGTATGTATGTATGTATGTATGTATGTATGTATGTATGTATGTATGTATGTATGTATGTATGTGTATGTATGTAATGTAATGTAATGTAATGCAATGCAATGTAATGTAATGTAATGTAATGTAATGTAATGTAATGAACTGCAATGCAATGCAATGCAATGCAATGCAATGTATTGTATGCATGTATGTATGTAATGTATGTAATGTATGTAATGTATGTAATGTATGTAATGTATGCAATGTATGTAATGTATGTAATGTATGTAATGTATGTAATGTATGTAATGTATGTAATGTATGTAATGTATGTAATGTATGTAATGCATGTAATGCATGTAATGTATGTAATGTATTTAATGTATGTACTGTATGTAATGTAATGTAACGTAATTTAATGTAATCAAATACAGTACTGTAATGTAATGTAATGTAATGTACGTATGTATGTAATGTAATGCAATGCAATGCAATGTAATGTAATGTAGTGTAGTGTAATGGAATGAGATGCAATGCGATCTGATGTCATGCAATGCATCGTAATGTACCGTAATGTGATGTAATGTAGTGTAGTGTATTGTAGTGTATGCATGCATGCATGTAATGCATGTAATGCATGTAATGCATGTAATGTATGCAATGTATTTTAGTGTAATCTACTGTAGTTTAATGTACATGTACATGTACATGTATGTACACGTACATGTAGTGTAGTGTAGTGTAGTGGAATGTAACGTAATGTGGTGTATGTAATGTATGTATGTATCGTATGTCATGTGTGTAATGTATGTAATGTATTTTAGGCAATGTAATGCAATGTGGTGTAATGTAATGCAGCGTAAAGTAGTTGAATGTAATGTCGTGTAGTGTAGTAAATGTATGTATGCATGGAAAGTAAGTAAGAAAAGTAAGGAAGGACGTAAGGAAGGACGTAAGGAAGGACGTAAGGAAGGACGTAAGGAAGGACGTAAGGAAGGAAGTAAGGAAGGAAGGAAGGAAGGAAGTAGAGCAATGGGTGTATGTGTTGTATGTGTGTGTATGGGTATGTGTACGTGTATGTGTGAGAGCTACCGGAAGAAGCTTTGGATTTTGCGTTCTTTTGAAGCCAGCTCAGCGAACCATGGGACAGTTTTGACTTTTGCCCAAGTTTTAGGCAACTTGGGACATTTTTTTTGAGCTTGGATTCAATCCCCGGGAGCTCCCTTTTATGCCATATGGAGGTTGCTCACTGACAGGCTGGTGAGGATCACCGGGGGGTGCTGGGCGCTGCAGAGCTGGAGAAGGCCCTGGCAGAGAGCGCAGAAGGCCAGGGACGGGACGTGAAACGATTCCCAGGGTTTCGGCGCCGACGTGGCTTTTGCTCGTGTGGATCATGAGGTTTTCGGCTGGACTTGGCGGTTTGCCCGGTGGTTTTTGAGAGGACTTCAGTTGTAGCGCGCGGAGCCGCGGAGCCTGGAATAGCGTGCCTGCGCAGTCCGCGTGGGCCGCGTAGGCTTTTTTGCGTAGGAACTGCCTCGGAGTAGGCTGAAACGTGTAAACATGCAGCTCGCGTAGGCTCACGTAGGCTTCCGCGGAGTTGCCCTTGTCATGTACCCCAAAAAACTCTGCTCATATGGTGTTTGCCTTGGTTTTGAATTTTAGCTTTTTGCCCTATTTGCTTGCTTGAATGGAAGCCATCAGTGTTTGGTGAGAATTCCAGACGCACCCATGCCAGCCACAAGCTTAATTTGTCGCCAATGGCTTTGATTCCACTGAATTGTCGGACAGCTCACAGATAGTTGGTTCTTAAAGTAGGAGGACAAACGCATCAGAATTTGATCGCACTTGAAAGGGAGTGGCCTCAGGTGGTGCTGACAAGGCTGGCGGCGAGCCAGAGAGCGCGGGCGGGACTTTGCCTCAGAGTCCGGGTCCTCCGCTTCTCCACAGCTCACTGGCCGAGGCCCTTCGGCGAGCTGAAGGCGAGCGACATCGTGCGGCAGATCGCCTCTGGAAGTCAGCAGGCCACTGGGAGAGCCATGCAAGCTGGTTGTCATGGTGATAGAGAGACCCACCGGAGAAACAAAACGACAGGAGCTGCTTAGGGAATGGGATGTCGGGAGGATTGAGAAACTTAGACATACCGCAGGTAACTTTCGAGGAGCTGAAGGGGGCAGTTATACAGCGGCAATCAGCTGCCTACACAAAGGCGGGTGTGAGTTTGAATGCCCTCAATTAAGATTCCATGTGCAGACACGAAGAGTTTGATGAAAGTTTGCCTGGAATAGTGTTGCTGGGGGTTTAGTCTTTTGAAGACTCTTTTGGGGCTGTTTTAAAGGGCATCCAAATTCGGAGACCGTGTTTTGTTTTGGGGTTGCCTCAGAACCTCGCGCATCTCCGTTGCGTGTCTTCCGCAAGGCCGCTTCGCCTGTGAGGCTCGCTGGCAAAACGCGGCGCTGCCTTTCTTTGGGGCAGCCCGCGCCCCCCAGAATGGTGGTTTCCCGTTTGTTTCCTTTAAACTAGCCCCAAACTGGGTAGCATCAAAAAGCAACAGCCCGTCCTGCCTTTGGTGGCGAGATTCCTTTTGCTGGGGTGATGTTTAAGAGGACCATGTGGAACCTTGTACAATTCATATACGACTGCTGTGTGCCAAGGGCTACTGTCAGGCATGCTGTTTGGGGGCTGTGCAGAAGCATCCGAAGGGGTGGGGCTGGCAACGCTGCAGTTTTCACTGAACAGCATCCGACACACGAATCTTGGATGCAGTGTTGCCACCATTCAGGTTGCCACCAGTGTTGAGGCAGCGCACGCTTGCAACGGCCAGGACCGGTGCCTGACAACCCAGCTCTGAGGTTAGGACGCCCAGCCCTTTGGCCTTTGCTGAGTATTATGCCTATGGCGGGTCTTTATCCTCTATCCTTCTGTTTATACGATGGTTCAAGGCAGTCAAAGGCTCAGCACAGGAAAGGCTCGAGGGCTTGTTATCATGTATATCATGTATTGTATGAACCGTGCCAGTTCTTTCACTTTACCATTGCCTGCGAGCCGCCGCTTCTAGGAAATATCGGCAGGAGGTTGGCCGATGCTTCCTCTATCCACAAGGCAAACAGCATGTCAGCAGGTGAGGCTTTGTTGCTTGCAGGACTCTGTAATGACATGCATGTGCAGTGCAAATTCGAATCGCTTACGGAGCTAAAGATGCGCCTAAGCTGCCAAGCTGCAAGCATAGGCAGTGCTGCAGATGGTGGCCTTGTCAGATACATAGGACGTCTCAAGAGGCCCAAGGGCGCTCTGTGCCACGACTTTGCCTTAACGACCGAAAGAATAGCGGTGCGATCATTGATCCTTTGCTGGTCAAAAGATGCCAAAGTGTAGAGCCACTTTGTAGAAGGGCATGCTGGAAGATGCTTGCTTGCCTTGAGAAGCTCACAGATTGCCGAGCTTTCAACCTCGCTTGCTTGGAGTTCACATTAGATACATTTGAATTTTAAGGCATTGGGTCAGCAGATGACCGTGCTTGGTTTGACTGGGAACCAAACAACCGAAAGTCGAAGTATCTCACACCAGCATGGCAGAATGCCACCCGATGGGCAAATGTGGGATTCGTTGCTGTGTCAATGTGTCGTGCCGGCTCAGTGTAGTCGAGGTTGGCAATCTCTGCCACTAATCTTGCCACTCAAGAAGAGTTAACTAGTAGTCTTTACATTTCTGATATGTGGGTAACAGCAAAAGACAGACTCCGCCTTGTTCATTGTAGCCAAACACAGCGTGAGTACCACAAGGTGCCCACGTTAAGCCCGTCAATTGCACATTCACGCTCATCCAGCGAAGATGCCGCCCAAGCAGGCACGGCAAGTCAAATTTGGTGATGCGCAGCAATGCTGGAAATGCATCCAGGCAGACAAAGCCAAGCAAAAAGAAAGAGATTCTTGGCTTGACGTGGTCAGAATTTGACGTGCTGAGACATGAACTCTGCTTCTCCCAGGAGAAGATTGCGATCGACAAGACATTTGGTCTAAAAAACAAGAACAAAAGCAAAGTCGTACAGAAGTGGCCTGGCCGGAAGCACATGATTGTGAGCATGGAACGCCATGGCATTTGCTAGTATCACATGGCTTGCAGCACTAGCCATCGGTCGCAGCTATCTATCGGTCATTGCGGATCGCTTTGGATGCTGCAGCATGCTGCAGTGGTTTCTGGTAGAATTGGCTACCCAGTTGGTTCACAATACATTCGCGACCCACAAAAGCAAAGTCCGCCAAGAAGCTCCTGCAGTACTTGCTGCACTGGAAATACCAATCTTGGCAAAGTAGGCGTCTCTCAGTTTTCGCCCTCACTCGGTGTCTATGTTGGCTTGCAAACGGCAAACATTCATTGGCAGACCTTCGTATTGTTGTGATTGTCGCTCTGCGTCGTGTGCTACAGGCCCCAAGGTCAAACAATTCCCAGTCTGATGCTCCCAGAATCACTTGAAAGCGGGAAAGCGGGGCCATGCTGAGGTACATCAAGTCCATCGCAAACAATGCGTCAGGCGGCTTGCACTGCAGGATTACTTGCCTATTGAAAACCAGCGCTTCGAAAAATACATGCTTGGCATCATGCGGCACAGCTGGTTGAATGACATATGTAGAAAGCTATTGCAGAGGCTACTGGCTGCTTTGGAGTGTCAGCTGTTTGCTAGCTTTACTGTTGCCCATTTATTCATTTATTAACTCAGGCATGTCTCAGGCATATCTCAGGCTTTACGTCTGCATGAGCTATTCGTGTTCTGACAGGTGCACCCAAGGGAGGGAAAGAAGCGGCCGACAGAGAGCAGAAGGAGGGCACGCTGGGGGATTTTTTTGAACAGCTTGCCTTGCAACATGCTTGTCCTTGCAGAGATGCATGTGATTTCTGATCAGGAAATGGTCGACATCATTTTCAAGGGGGCTTTTGTTAACTAACCATTCGTGAGGGATTCCAAGTGTTGGAATTCACAGCTAGCTTACGCCTTGCAGGACGCAAAGCAGAAAGAGCTTCAGAAAGCAGCCCTGATGCCGCTCGGCTTGATGTGAACGACAAAAAACCGCAAGTGAAGGTCAGCCAGGAAACCTGGCCACCCTTTGGACATCTTCACACTGCAAGGTTTTGCTTGCAACTGCAGGATTGGTGGCTGTCAGAGGGTAAGCCGCCCGGTAATGCGTGGTGAACGAGCGCTGTAACGTAGAAGGTTGACATGCAAACACTTTCCAATGCCAACTGCAGGACTTGTGGCACCTCGCAAAGAAATCTGTGAGCATGGATCGATCATTACACAAAGATGTTGGCTGACAGGATACCTGGACATGGTGGTTTCGGCAGTTTTGCGGGTCGCAGGAACTCGTTGTTCAACCTTGCCACGGACAAGAAAGGAAGAGCGCCTGCCTGACAGCTTGGCATCGCTTTTTGCTGGACGCTATCAATCCCGTTTATTCTTTCGTTGGGGTGTGCTGGCGCCAGGTTTGATCCAGTGGCGAAGAAGAAGGCGAAACAGGCGGAGGAGGAGGCGCATGGTGCGCTGCTCTGTAGCCAGCAAGCCTGCAAGAAATGCATCAGGCCATTGCGGCGGGGAAAAAAGTGAAAGAGGAGATCAAGAAGGAGACTGCGGTCCAAAAACCAGCACGCACCGTTTGAACACCTTGGTGGCTATGACTTTTGGTGCATGCTATCTTTGGATCGTGCCAGGAGATCATTGAAGGTGTGGCCAACAGCATTCGCCTCACCAACCCGAAGGCATCCGGACAGCTTTGTCAAGTATACAAATTGAGGGCTCGCATGAATGTCGGATGCAAAGGGCGTGCGCATGTCGGAGCTGGGCGCGCATCCCATCATTCAGGCGCGGGTCTCCGAACTTTAGCCAGAGTTAATTTATGCCATGTCCTGAGGCGCTGAAGACCAAGCACCAGGATACGTTCAAGACTATCCAGCTCCTTTTGTTCATCAAGGCCAGTGGGTTTTTGCATGCCAAAGGCATCGCCGGCTCGGTATCTGGCAGGCGAATGACAAGGTCTTCTGGGTGGACGATGAAGAGAGCACCAACCCCACTATACGATGTTTGGAGGCTGCTGCTTCTGCTGGGGCTTTGGCATCAATGACACAATTGGCAGGATGTTGAAGCAGAGGTGGCGCCAGACGAGCGGCCACTGGAGGACAGGGCTTGATATTCTTTGGCTGCTTCGGAAGTCCAGGTATTGCCCTTTGTTCTTTGTTTTCTTGAGAAAGGATAGGGACACCGCCCAACATCCACTGGGACACCAAAAATGCTTCGTTGGGGTTCCCCCATGCTGCACATTGATCCAACTTTTTATTCGGCAGGAGATCATCGAGGAGCGCAGAGCTGCGCTGCCCCCTGGAGGTACTCCCGTCACACCGGAGACCTTTAAGGCAAGCGAAATTCCCGGGGGGAAGGTGGGTGGGGGGGGGGGGCAGTTTGGAGTGCCAAGCATAAAGAGGTAGGTACGTTCGTTTGATTCTTTGCCATGGATTTGAGACCGCTTGAGTGTTTGGTTTTGAGTCTGACTCCGGGGTATTCTCAGATTCTGGGAACGGTTGAAGCAATGGGACGCACCGGAGGAAGGCGCTAAAAACATCCCATGAACCACTGCAAGTCTTGACACCTCGATGAATCATGTCTTTCTTCTAAACGGGCAGAGGGAAAGCGTTACTTCTGTGAAAGCCCTTTGCAGAGGGGACTTGCCCACTTGTTCACGTGAGCATGCCGAATGCTCACAGGCCTGGAAGGAAAAACGAGAGGCCGCGTGTCGGCACTTGGTTTGGTTTGGTCGCTTGCCAGCGCCGCCGCGACTCGCGACTCGCTTCTCCTCTTCCCGATCCAAGGCTGAGAGGCTTGCGAAGGTGGAGGAGGATCGCCAGGAAAGCATGAAAAAGGGTGGCAACAAGGCGCTGTCTGAGCTCGCCTTGGAGCGATCCGTGCCATGAAATGCTGATTTGCAGGGCCTCGTCGGAATGAGCGGACGAGACTTGTTCACCTACGATGCATCCCTCTTCCAAGATGATGAGGGTGCCGTGTCTGCGGATGAGTACGATGAGAGGGAGGAGGACGTTCAAGCGATTATAGCATTGCTTAGCGTGCGGCGAGTCATGGTTCTATCCTATTGAACATGTTCCATGCAGCAAGCAATGATCCTGGCAGGTTGCCCTTCTTTCTCCCAGCCCCGAATCGATTTGATTTTGTACCTTGCCTTCATTTTGTGTCCACCTTTCCTTCTGGGCTTTGGGTGCTTCAATTGCTTGACCATGCTTGGCTTAATATGATCCTTATCCTGATTCTTTGCTTGCGTGGCTCCTGATACTCCCTGCCTTATTGAGGCTTGCTTGTCCTGTCGCTTGCCTGCTTGGCTCCTACGAACGAACGTGTTTGTTGTCACTGTCGTCTAGTTCTTCAGGCGTCTCGCATCCCCGCCTTCTTCTTATGACGAATCAGCGTTCTTTGCCATGACACTTTTCTCATTCGCTTTCTCAGCCTTTGGTTTTTGTATTCCCCGCAATGTAGTGTTCGGCCCTTGATTGCGTTCCTTCGTTGAGTCTTTGCTTTGCGCCCCTGTCTCCTGCAGCGGCTTTGCCGCTTTTTTCCTTCTAAGAATGATCATGCCTTGCAGTCCTGTGATTGGTTCCGTCTTCGCTTTTCTACTTTTGCACAGCATCTTTGCACAGTTTGCAACTGAACGTTCGTTGCACACTTAGCAACCGAATGTAAAGGCTTGGACCAAATTGGCAGACTGATTGCCCAGTTTATCCATTGCCTCCGCCGAAGGATCCGCAGGATGAGGACGACAACGGCGGCAAGACTCAAGGGATGGCGATTGCCTCAAGTTTTCCTTTTAGCAAAAAACAATCGCCCTTTTTTGAACGGCCTTACTGTAACTCGTGCAAGGCAAAAGACTTGCAGGATGATGAGGACTCTACTGTGAATAGCCTCTACAGAGTTGCAGATCTCAGATCTCGAAGCACTTTTCCGCACAAGCAGGTTGGCATATTCATACACCAAGCGGCGACTGTTGGTTTTATTTCTAGTGACATCGCTTCATATTCAAGCGCAGGAGGAGGAGGAGGAGGAAGAAGCTGAACCCGACTCCGGCGCTAGGGGTAGCAATGATGCGGAGGATCTACAGAAGCCTTGTACCATTTTGTGCCCATTCTGATTCTCCCTCAGCATTCCACGTCAAGAAGTGTGTCAGGAGGCAGCAGGTGCAATCAACGAGAAGTTGTTCCTGCAGGCATGACTCACATGCCTCCGGAAGGGGAGAGTTGTTCGGCTTCAGGAGGAAGACTTGCCAGATGACTTAGATGACCTGGAAGATGATGAGGAGGAGAATGCTGAGGCCAAAGGTGCCAAGGACTGAGGTGCTTGCATCAGGCACTTTGGACACTTTTGCAGCCTCATTTTCAATTTCGCCTGGAGTTGTTGCAAAGCAGCACCTCACGTGAATACTTGGGCATATGCGGAGAAGAACACGCGTTGCTAGCACTCTGCAAAGGATCGGTTTGGGTGAATTGTGAATCGCTTGCATCTCTTGAACACTGGTGCTTAGCAAAAGTTTCATGTGCAGCAATTGGACACTGATTGCTCCGCGAGCGGGCATGGACCTCTGAAGCGCTGCAGCTTCAGAGCAAGGACCGTGCCCTGCTTGGCGGATGTACAGAGTCAGCGGATGAGGCAGAGAGGTGTGATTAGGCGAGAACCAACGAGTGTAAGTCGGGACGCCGCAAAGACTTTCAAGGAGACGCGCGTGGACAAAGCAGACGAGCGACAGAGGGAGAGCCGAGCGATAAAGAATCAGACGGAGAGAGAGAGAGAGAGGAGACATACTTCCATTGACTGCTTTGTTTCTTTCTTCCTTTCTGGCTTCTGTGTCGATCGCGCGCGCCTGGCCATTGACTGCACAGCTCTCCGATTCAGCTTTTAGCAGAGCCACATTCTGACAGAGCAAGTTGCCAAGGCGTCGAAGCCGCTCGGCTGGTAATCGCATGCGGTCCCCAAGGTTGGGGCATTTGAGCAGCACCGGGCTGTTCTATGAAGCGGCAATCAGCAATCAGAGCACAAGTTACACCAGCATGTTGGCCAAGTCTCCGTCAGTTGCAGACAGTCCGAGGTCGATCTGGATCATGGTTCTATGTGCTTCAGAAGACTGCAGGCTTGGGCTTTGCATTGCATTGTTTCGCCTGCGACGGCGTTCTTGTTGCATTTTGAGAGAGCTTCTGGAGGGTAAGCATCTGCCATGATGGCTGCTTCCATGTGCCTCGAGAGGCTAACTTTGCAAGGAACCACCCAGGAACCACCCAGGGAGCAATTGGAAGAAATCCACTCGATGAGGGGCTTAAGCTCTGACCCTTTCAGCCCAAAGGCGCAGCTGGCTGCGAGCGGCAGCCTCGAATACTTCCAGGAGGTGCCTGATTCTGAGAACTGTTTCTCTCAGCCGTGGAATGAGTGAGGGCTTCAGGCACTCAGGATTTTCACTCACTTCCAATCCTGCAGGTGATTCAAGTGGCACCTCCCCATGTTTGGACCGCCAGTGTCCTGACCACAGCTGCCTGGATGGGTCTTGGATGCCTATGGCCACGTTTTTACTGGCGACCCAAGGCTTGGCACCGAGCGGCCAAGCATTCAGCGAGAGGTGCATGTCGCATCCTAGTGAAGCGACACCGCCAGCAGATGCCAGAATTCAAGCCAAAGAGCATCGCATGCCTCCTGACTGCACAAGGAGAGTTGATGTAATGTTCCACATGTCTTGGGGATCTTTGGACTGATTGAGGTATTGTTTGGGCCTGGGGCAAGTTGCGCGTGAAGGAGCAAGACCTCCTGGAACACATCTGCAAGACCATTCCAGGCTCTTTGCCTCAGTTCTCCACCAGGGAGCCCTGGACTGGCTTTTCTTTCTTTTCCTCCCAGGGAGCCTTTTGGACTGTTCCTTTTTTTTTCGTCATCATTTTTCCCAGGGCTCCTCGTGAGTCAAGGGCCGTCGGGCAAGGACCTGGCCAACGTGATCTACGGCCTCGGCCTGCTTGGCCACCGGGAAGAGGCTGTCCTGGGCCTTCTCTGCGAGCGCTTGGCCGAGAAGCTGCCCGAGTCCAACGGGCAGACCATGGCGAACGCGGTCTACGCGCTGTGCCTCCTGCGGTTCAAGCACCGCGGCTTCTTGACCGCGCTCTGCGAGCAAGCCCCTGAACGCGTGCCGCAGTTTAAATGTCAAGAGCTCTCCATTTCGGTCTACTCCCTCGCGCTGCTGCGCGTCCGCAACGAGCGGCTGCTGAATTCGCTGTGTGCGGCAGCGCAGCCGCGGCTCGCAGAGTTCAGCCCTCAGAACATCTCCAACCTCGTCTACGGCCTTGGCATCCTGCGCTGCTCCTCACCGCTGCCAGCCGCGGCCTGCCACTTCTCGGCCGGCCGCTTGGCCCACTTCACCGCCCAGGGTCTGTCCAACATGACCTATGCGTGGCCGGGCTGCACGAGGTTTTCCGGAAAAAAGACGGGCCTGCTTTTGTGCCTGAGTGCCTACTAAGGCTGGGTCTTTTGCGCCTCCCTCATGGAGTTTTCCTAAAGCATTTGTGTGCTGAGCTTTCAGAACGTGCGAAGGAGCAGCTTTGCAAGAATATCGAGTCTGCATAAGAGCAGGTGGTGGTAGTTTTGATGGCATTATCCCCCCTGCAACATTCAACTCAAAAGACTTGAGG